CTCTGTCAAAAGCACTTGGGCTCTGTATGCCACTCCTTTCCCAGGCTCTTGTATCCCACCTGTTAAAGCAGCCTTCTCCACCTGGGTTGGGACGACTGACCAGTAAATTCTGGGAATTGCACCCCATCCTGCTGGGCAGCCTTTGGACGGAAGCAGGTGCTCTAAAAACACATAGCATGTCTTCCTTCCTTCCCTAATAATGTCTCTCTTCCGCTGCTTCTGGGTAAAAAACACCCCATCTCAAGCCACTCCTTTTATTTTTCACTCTGGATCTAGTTTCCATTCTTTCCCCCCCCCTTTCTGTTCAATCGTGTCCAATTCTTGATGACTGCCTGGACAAGTTCCTGTAGTTTTCTTGGCAATGTTTTTCAGGGGTGGTTTTCCATTGCCTCCTTCCTAGGGTTAAGGGAGAGTAACTGGCCCAAGGTCATCCAGCCAATTTGTTCCTAAGGCAGGACTAGAACTCTTAGCTTCCCAGTTTCTAGCTTGCTGCTTTTACATCAAACTGGCATATTCCATTCTAACACTGAAGGAACTATGCTACTATTCTCTTTCCAATTCTATATCTAATGTGGTATCTAAAAGGGCCAGATTCAGCTTCCATAGCATTCCCTAGCACTCCTATAAATGTGGAAGAAATAAGCTGCATTTTATTCAATGGACCTACTTCTAAGTAAACATGCACAGAACTACATTCCCAGAAAGGAACCTCAGCAATCAGCTCCATAGTCCAGTATTTATCTGCCTGTCTATCTTTCTGATGTAAAACAAGCCCCAAATGACCATAATTATTTAGTGAAGCAATAGCATGATCAAACAATGTAACAATACTCTCTGGCTCAGCACATCAAGAAAAACTGACATGTATTTAATATGTTACTTTAGTAACAACTAAGAAACATAACAGAATAATGTCCTCTCTCTGATCTGTGTTTGTACCATTGTAAAAAGTATTTCATTACCATTACAATTTCACAATTTTTCTCACAGGCTTATAGGACATCACAAATTCAGTTCAGGTTTAAACAAAACATTCTAGGTTCAACATACAATGGCTTATTAAGGAACAAGCAGTTTAAATGCTCTCTCCAACTTGTCTCCTTCAAAAAAGATCTCCTGGTTTATTTAAATCATAGATTTCCAATTAGGAAACTTAATGCTTCCTACAAATCTGAGGTGTATCCACAACTTTTTACAGACCAAAGAATACACATAACTCTTAGGAACAGCATTTCAAAACCTAGCCAAAGATAGGATAAAAATATAGATAAGACACAAAGAGGAAATATGGTTTAATTTAAATTTATTTTCCACATTTTTATCTCAGCTTTCCTTCAAGGAGCTCTGGGAATTCCTGGCTCAGGAATTCTGGGAGTTGAAGTCCACAAGTTATAAAAGGGCCATGATTCCCCACCCGATTTAAAATATAGTCCTTGGATCCCCCAAGATCCTTTTAAGCATCTGTGAAATCCGAATGATGTTGAAAAATAATACAATATTTATCCATTTATTAAATTGATATGCCACCCATCTCATTATCCAGCAACTATGTGGTATATAAATAAGTAAAATCCAAGTTTAAGAAACATTGACCTAGTGAATTCCACTATCTAGTGAGGATTTAACCAGGTTTTTCTGGATCCAGTCCAACTTTCCAAGTACTAAATATGATTATTCCCCATTCAGTTGACTCCTATCCTAAGCAACAGCATTTAATGCAATCTATATTGCAATGAATCATATTTTTAAAAGACTTTAAATAAGATGTTGGAAGAGTTTATTCTGCTTTGTAAATTTTATGAATATAAATGAGTACACAGAGCTCCTTTAAAACTGTATTTCACACCGCACTTTAAACAAGGAAAAACATGTTTTGTCACCAAAGTATTATAGACAATTAAGTCTCAGTTTCTTCAGAAACAAATTCAGCCTCAACTAGAGCTGTCATGGAAACGTATTTGCCTACGCATTATTAACCTTGCTTTATGACTGTCAGAACAATGAAAAGTAATAACAGCATTTCATTTGGCGTTTCAGTCCCTCTGTTTCAACAAAAACTTACTAGTTTAAAGAAAGGTATACCGAGATAGGAAAAAACCTGCCTCTCAATATTTAAATTTTAAGAATTATGATATGCCTAAGAGGGCTATTTGTTAATAGAAAATCTGTTTCTTTGAAGAACTGTATTCCAAATGAAGTTTTGATACCAAGCATGGCCTCAAGGCAGCTTTTATCCAATATTTAAATCAGTCTTCGAAGTATGATGTGAAAGTTAATCTATCTGGATTTTAACATTTACCTCAAAAGCTTGACAACTTAAACATGTTTACATTTTCAATAGGTTTTCTTGCTTTTCATAATCAAATTTAGGAAAAATAAATAAAAATGCAATGCATTTGAAGACATACAAGAAGTTCCTGCAAGAGAGGCCAGCTTACAGTACCCATCCTGTAGATAGGAAAATAGCTGTGGGGCACTAGGTCAGGTTTGTGTGTGTGTCCTAGGTGGAGGAAAGACTGTGCAAAGTGCCTTAACCTGGGAGAAGGGAAAGGGCAGACAGGATTATCGCAAGAGTGATGGCAGAGGGAAGCACAGCAGTAGACTAGAAGTGGGGAATTGGGACCACAGCTTAAAAGCAGTTCACTGTTCAGCCCTTGGCTTCCACCCACTGCGTACTGTATCCTCACTTGCCCTGGGCTCCAGCTGCTGTTCCTGAATGCCAGGTTGGTATGTAACAAAGCTGCCTTCATTCATACCTCTTACTATGGATGAGGATGTTGACCTGGCTTGTTTAACAGATGCCTGGTTTGTCCTGGGGGGGGGGGAGATCCCCTCCGAGAATTGTACCCAACCAGGTTTTGCACCAGTTGAGACCCAAAGAAGGGGAAAAGAGTAGTTTTTGTAATCTGAGAGCAGGTGGCAGGTGTTCCCAGGAAGGTATTTGCACAATTTCCTCTAGTGTACCAGTTGTGTCCTTTCCTGGATTGTGAAGCCCTTCAGACAGTCACTCGTGTCCTAATGTAAGGGTATGTTGGAATGGCCTTGGGAGACAGCAGGAAGAGCCACAGCCTGGGGAACGCTCTAACAAAAGGCAGCTAAGTTGGCAAAAGGAATGGCGGCATGACCAATGCCTCAGAAGGGACCCACCCTAGTTTCTTGGGCTGCAAGGGAGAAATGTACTTTCAGACTTGCAAGATTCTGTTGATGTAACACAGGGGTAGTCAACCTTGGCTCTTTTATGACTCGTGGACTTCAATTCCCAGAATTCCTGAGCCAGCTTAGCTGGCTTAGGAATTCTGGGAGTTGAAGTCCACAAGTCATAAAAGAGCCAAGGTTGACTACCTCTGATGTAACATTACAATAAAGTATATTTACTTCATCTGAGCATGTTTCCTTTATGCACTACTTCCCAAGGCTGACACCTCGTCACTTCACAGCTCAATTTCTGCATGCAATTCAAGGTGCTGGTTATGATCTATAAAGCCCAAAATTAGTCATTGGAGGAACCATTACTACCATGGTGTCAGCCCAGCTGGTTCAATCTGACAAATTTAGCATGTTCCATGTTCTTTCAATTTACAACTGTGTCATCAATAGGAATCTGAGATGGGTGCCCTTTTTGTCATGGCATCTGCCCTCTGGAATGAAATTTCACTTGATATCTGTGTGGCTACCAGCTCACTGGCATTCCAAAAAGTCTTAAAGACCTGGCATTTCTCCAAGTCTTTGGGTTATGAGGTTGAAGCCCCTGCTGGATTGGGTGGGATTACCAGTTCTGCTGTCGGTTTTTGTGGTTTGTTGTTTTATTTTCTTATAATTATTGCAGTCTGTTTTTATGTTGCTCTTTTATTGTATGGGACCAGGTGGAATCAGGTGGTGTTTCAATTGAATAAATTAAATTACTAGGAAAATGTCTACAGAGTGTCCTAATTTAAAAAAAAAATCATAATTAGGAATTTCTCAATTTGCTTGGGTTAGGTTCTCATCATGCTAAGTCACGTTCCCTTCATCGTGACCAATTGCATAACTGGTTGGTTCACTTATAACTTTTATGGGAATGCACAAATGTTTAAAAAAAGAAGAAATGGGAATGATTAGCTTCCTACTCCCACAATCACCCTTAAAACAACATAATAAAAAAGCCAAAAATCTTCAGTTCTTCTCTTTCTGGGTGATGGATGTTATCATAAGCCTTCAGTGGTCCATCAGCTGAGAAGAGAGCAAGTTGCAACTTCTGATCCAGAAAAAAATTGTCCGTGCCTATCTTTATATTTCACAACCACAACAGCTGGCTTCACCCAGTCTACCACACCAGCACCAAACCACAACATTTGTGAATCTTTGTAAAATGGACAGTTCTTGTGTACATTCAGACAACTGAGTACTTTGAGCTATACACTCTGCACTAGGTGGCAGTGATTTCAAAGAAGAATATTTTTTTATTCTCTCTAAAATATCAAGAATTGAACCTGGAGTTTTGCTTACAAAGCAGATATTCCACAATGAACTGAAGATTTACAACACTTGTTTAAAATATATCTGAGGAAGATTACACCAAGTGGAGTTACAACTCAATAATGGATCCCAAAGCAATCTTCTAGACCACGGGTAGGCAACCTTGGGTCTTTTATGATTCGTGGACTTCAACTCCCAGAATTCCTGAGCCAGCATGGCTCAGCTTGGAAACCTCTCCCTTTCCCCTCAGCATGGCTGGCTCAGGAATTCTGGGAGTTGAAGTCCACGAGTCATAAAAGAGCCAAGGTTGCCTACCCCTGTTCTAGACTGTGGTTAGGAGCGGAAATCAGCATTTCTGGTTTTTTATATACTATCTAATTATATAATTCACCCTTTGTACAATAAGATAATTACCCAGCACTATGGTAAAAAAGCATATATTATTTGAACAAAGCACCATATTTGCTTTTCAGTAAATTTTACACTAATTTTAATAAGCTGGAACTGGGTTTGCCAACAGCCCTGTTGTTTTTAAAACCCTTTACCTTTTGCTCTTGAACTTCAAACACTGCTTCATGAACACTGCAAGCAAAGAGTGAGGTAGGAAGATCACTTAGATCCATCATCTCTTCCAAGTCTTCTTCGTTTTCTCCAAAAATCATTTCTTCCTCTTCTTCTAGGTCACTGCTGTAAAGGTCTGACTGACTATCACTCCAGGCCTTCATTGTATCATTAATCTCTGTCCATTCAAAGCTTCTTTCTGCCTCTGTATTCTGCGCTTGTGGGAAGAGCCTTTCAAATGAGCCAAGAGAGAGGGGAAGAGAGAACAAAAACAGTAAGGAAGACATTTTTTCTATTCTTTCTTATTATGGCTGTTTTTAGTGGTTTAGTCATTATGTGCAGAAATAAAATCTGACCTTAGAGCCGTAATCCTGGCTCATTTTACAATTCACTGACTTCTAGCGTAGGAAGGAGTCACTGCTTATTCAGATATGAATAATAAGATTGATGCAATACTCAAGTCTTTTATCGTGAGACAGGCCTAAATAAGATTCCCAGGCACTGGATTGCATCCAAAGACTTAAACAGACTTCCTGTTCCAAAAATATCAGTTCTAGAAACTGACAAACCACCTCTGGAATTACTCTGAGAGCAAATGGAGCCTTCCAGGGAACACAAGAAGGCTCTAGGAACAGACTGTACAATTTGATTTCAGAGCCTCCAAGAAATAGTAGATCACCTCCTTTGCCATGGTGACAAAGAGGAGGAGGAGGACTCATTAGCAACTCCTATGGTATGCTCTAGTGCAGGGGTAGGCAACCTCGGCTCTTTTATGACTCATGGACTTCAACTCCCAGAATTCCTGAGTCAGCTATGCTGACTCAGGAATTCTGGGAGTTGAAGTCCATGAGTCATAAAAGAGCCGAGGTTGCCTACCCCCGCTCTAGTGGCAGAAATTTCTGCCACTTTCTGATTTGGGGGGGGGGCAAGGAGTAAATATGGATCAGACTAAAGCAGTGGTTCTCAGCCTGTGGGTCGGGACCCATTTGGGGTCCAACGACCATTTCACGGGGGTCACCAAACAACGCAGGCCGCCATTTCCCCCCCCCCCTTTTCCTTAGCTGTGCTACTCCCTTTTATTCTATTGGCTTTTGAAAGGCAATAGAATAGACTCTCTTGAATAGAGTCTAATTCTATTGGCTTTCAAAAGCCAATAGGAATTGTCCAGGCTGTCTCTACCCTGCTGAGCCCGCCAAAAGTCCCATTCTGCAAACGGTGCTGCACCAGTTGAGTAGTCCTCGACTTACGACCGGTTGAGTAGTCCTCGACTTACGACCGGTTGGGGGGGTCGCGGCATTAAAAAGGTTGAGAACCACTGGACTAAAGAATGTCTCTGATTCACCAAACAAAGTTCTTCTGAGTTTCCAACTTCCGTTCAGGAAGGAAGGACAATTAAGACAGCAAGTATGACACAAAGGGGAAAAAAATAATAGGAGCAGGAATCCTCTTTCCACTACTTTTTGCTTTACTGGAAAGAATCTGACAAAGATATCATAGATCCTCCCCAACACCACATGACTCAGTCAGTTAATTCCAACCAATTTATTTAGAATTTATTTTTGTTTATAATCTTAGGGATGAGGAGCTAACATTTCCAGGAAGTGATACATGCTCATTTACCAAAAAAAACCGACACTGGGCAAAGGAAGAAGTCTCCTCTTTTTCTTTCCCTTCCCTACAAGATCATTACGACCAATTAGGCTCCAGAAAGGACCTAGAACAGTGTTTCTCAACCTTGACAACTTTAAGGCATGTGGACTTCAACTCCCAGAATTCCACAGCCAGCATTGCTGGCTGTGGAATTCTGGGAGTTGAAGTCCACATGCCTTAAAATTGTCAAGGTTGAGAAACACTGACCTAGAAGCTTCTTGCTTCTTTCTTTTCTTTTTTTAAATATTGCTTCTTATTTGTTTATATTATTTGGATGCTGCTTTTGGAGACTGTTATCTTGAAAAATTGCATCTAAATAAATCCAGATGGAATTTGCAGAAGATCATGATGACACCTAATAGGCCCTGAATTCAAAAGCAAAGCAGCTTTAATACTTTTCTTAACCTTAGCAACTTTAAGGTGTGTAGACCTCAAGTTCCACAATTCCTCAGCCAGCATGGAAGTTGAAGTCCACAGATCTTTAAAGCTGCCAATGTGTTTGGCTTTCTACATGGAGCCAGTCTTTGTCCTCTCTAAGCCTGACATGTAATCTGCTGGTGTTCAGAAATCCTAAGTCATTCCAAGGTTAGATGGAGGCTTGTGTAGCCAGGTTGATGCTATAGCACCAGAAACACCACATCATGAGATAGTCAAATTGGCAAGCATCCTGTCATTCTTTACTGTGAGACAAAAGGAGATAGAATCATGTGCCTAGAAATTTTGGCTTGACGAGGTATAGATCACCAAATATAACAAGCTTCAAAATACTTGTTCAGTAGTACTCAATATTTGCTATTTAATCATTAAATTCCTTTGCAAGCTGAATGTTTTCAGCTTAAAAACTAAATAAGTTTTCAAAAAACACTGTCAAGCTGAATTTCCACACAATTCCTTTCTATAAAACAACACTGCATGTAAATGTATTTTTCTATTTACTACTGAGATGCTCAATAATGTTCATTTTAATTCTCAGAAACTAGCCTGTTGCATTAACTTTTTATTCTAAAGCCCCTCATATATGACACTTGAGACACTGTGCATAAAAATTAATCACAAGCACTGCTTTACACTTTGAGCTTGAAGAACATTTAAAGGCAAGGAAGGGTTGGCTGGACCAACAGAATAGACACAATTTACTTAAGTGTGTACCAAACTGAAAGGAGAACAGACCTGGCACATGATTTGTCTCCTTCCCTCTGCATGCCCATTGGAAAGCATGGTCTCTATAATGATGGGACTTGATTTGTGCTCAGAGAGAAAGATTACAGCATGTTCATTTTTAGTTCCAGAATATTACTATTAGACTTGGCCTACCAAGATTTTCACATGCCCTTCAAGGAAAGTCACAACTGCCTAACAATGGAGGTTTAGTTATATTACTTTAAAGACATACTTAAAAATAGCCTCAAAGTAGAAGTACATAATTAAAACCAATAACACTACATAACATTTTAAGAGAAAAGAAAAAAAAACCCACAATAAAAGTTAAAATCGCTACAGATGGAATACCTAGGTAGGATAACAAAGAAGTAAACAAAAGATGAAAATGAGTACGTTCAAGAAAGAACCTGCTGATTAAACATGATGCTGACACCAGATCTAATAAGACACCAATTGTAACTAGGCAAGTAAGGCATTCAGCAATCAAAGTCTCTGTACTGAAACAGTTCATTTCTCCACAATGTCTCAAGAGACATATTTGAGGGGGCTTTAAATACAGTTTTATCACAGGCATCTTTGCTAATTCCCAATATTCAATCCATTACATAATCATAAATTAGTTATTAAATTTATATATGGCCTAACTCCCAGTGACTTTGTGCAATTTATGAATTGTTGAACATATATAAAAACAAAGAGACAAAAAAAATGGCAGAAATTATGAAACTGGGTAAGGACAAAGGAAAAAAGGGTCTTCAAACACACTCATGAAAGGGTGACTTAGCTCTATATCAGTGGTTCTCAACCTGTGGGTCAGAACCCCATTTGGGGTCGAACGACCATTTCACGGGGGTCGCCAAACAACGCAGTCTGCCATTTTCCCCTCCTTTTCCTTAGCTGTGCTACTCCCTTTTATTCTATTGGCTTTTGAAAGCCAATAGAATAGACTCTCTTGAATAGAGTCTAATTCTATTGGCTTTCAAAAGCCCATAGGAATTGTCCAGGCTGTCTCTGCCCTGCTGAGCCCACCAAAAGTCCCATTCTGCAAACGGTGCTGCACCCGTTGAGTAGTCCTCGACTTACGACGGTTGGGGGTCGTGGCATTAAAAAGGTTGAGAACCACTGCTCTACAGGGTCTTCTGAAACATCTGTAGGATGGAGGCTGTTTGAATCTGGGGAGGGGAGGGGCCCTCACTCCAGAGAGAGAGGGCATAAGGCAAAAATCAAACATGCTGAGTTTTAAAACATCAGTGCAACCCCTGAATTTGGTTTGGATCAAATTCAAGGTGCAGCTTGCTCAGAACAGACATAACATGGTTCCAACAGGCTGTTCCTTTTAGCAAACTAACCAGACGGTGCTATCCTTGCTTCAGATTCTGGGCCAGCCTCTAACAGTTTCATTAGAAGAAAATACAGCACTAATCTGATTTGCAGGTTGTCAGGGCTTGGAGCATGACTGATGCCTGGTAAACCAGGTCAGGCCACAGCAAAAGATCTGGAGGAATTGCCAAATGATGACTTTGGGTGTTGCCTATATGCCAAAATTAGTAAAGCAGATGGGTGGAAAGAGAAACAAATTATACAAAAAATATACAGCAATATTAAAAATGAGGTTAAACGTCTTCAGAGAACACAAGGACATTCTGTATTTCTGAAGAAGAGAAATTAACCTGCAGCTATGCTCATATTGAGAATTTGATGACTCACAATTCCAAAATATTTCCACATATAATATCGCAGCATTAAAGTTTTCAGGGTGTTCAATAGCTGCAAGAGAAAGATTCTATAGTTATAATAATTACTGCAAATTAGGCTGCTTCTCTTTAAATAGTGATCCCTGAGAAGCCCAGTTGTTAACTGAGTGTTTTAGTATGAACTTCTATACTTTAACTCCCTAAAAGTGCATTACATTTTCTCTGTGTGGTAAGGGCATTTAAAAAAGAGAAGAACATACAGAACTGAATTAATTTGTTAAACGGATTAAGGCCTTGATTAAAGAGCTGTATTTCAACAATCTCCCTTAACAAAAAGGAGATCACAAAGTGACTTTTCTAGCATAAAGATCTTTAACTGAAATAAAATATTGATTTCCCAAGAAATATACAATGTAAACAAAACACACTGAATTAGTAGATGAAAAGGAATCTTCATTTTTCAGTCCAGAACACTGAATTCTTGCTTTGAGGAATTACTGAACTGAGATGACATAAGCCAGCTCCAATAGCCTCTGTTTCAGTTTTTGCATTTGCAAAGAGATTAACATATACCAACAACTGCAAAAGAACCAGAAAGCTTACCAGAATTTAAATTCACTCATGGCTGGCCTATTTTAATAACTTAATAAAGTGACTAATATATTTTAATCAGAAGATTGGGATTTCATAATTTGTAGGTTATTTGTATTGAGCAGGTACCTCAATGGAAAAATCAAGTTAACATTTTTTTCATACTAGAATTATCAGTCAAAGTCAGGTGCAAAATAGATGGCATTTGCCAGCTGAAGCCAGAAGTGTTTTTATGATAATATGCCCTATGAACAATGTATCATAATTTTTTCATATAAAAAGCCTTCTTTTCCCCTAGTATCCTTTTTCAGGCAAACATATAGCACTGTTACCGTTAATGAAGGATAAGTCTCATTATCTAGGATATCTATTGTACCTAGTTGAGTATAATCATGGATTCCAAAAAAAACCCATGTCACATTTCCTTGTCTTCCCCTGAGATTTTGTTTCTCAGGATTATGCAATAGAAGAAACAAGAAACTAATAAAAAATCTGCAAACATCAATCTACTATGCTAGGAAATGATGCTGAAAGTAATAGAGAAGAAACGTACATTTTAGCAAAACAAATCTTGTCAAACATTCTACTAAAACAGAGTTTATCGATTTCAATTCATAGGTGGGAGCATCTAGCTAAAGTTGCTTATTGTCCAAAATTTAAGCAGTGATGGGCCTAGTAGCATTTGGATGATGGACGAACAGGAGATTCCAGAATTCAAGATTAGATGGGAAGTTGAAAAAAAAATCTCAGAAGAATAGAATCAAGCTCAACTTGAAGAATTTCTCTTTAATTCAAAATCAGAAAGGCACATGCAGCGGAATCAATTGTATAGCACAATCTTCTATATGGCTGAGGGTATATCTCAACGTGGGTGAACACTGACTCTGAGCATCTTTGATTCTGTGGCAAACTCTGAATTTGTAATAACATGCACATGATTGTGACTACTACTATAATCCAACAGAATTACTCCAATATTCAGGAATCTGAGAGACCACATTTGTAAAGTCATGAAACTGAACAATGTACCTAGAAGCTAATTTCTATGCTAATAAACAGAAGTTTATCAAAGCCTTAACCTCAAGGGCCCATGACTGCACAGTTTGATATTAAAGGTAAGTATTTACCTTCTTGAGCCTCAAAACGTGAGGATTAAAGCATTTTAAAAATCTGTATGACGTACTTGCTTGTGCTATCGGCCCTCCACCCCCATGAATAAGGAAATTATACATCCTGACTAAGGAAAGGCAAGTACTTAATTTTTTCCTAAGAGAAGAACTGTTTATTTTCCTTAGCACACTATTTCCTCCTTCACCAAGGCTGCTTAAGGAGAGAAGGCTAAAGTATTATCCTGTCAGATGCCCACTACACAGTGGATAAGTTCACTGTTCCCACATGGCAGGGAAGAAAAACAAACCAACTACATTACGTTAAAAATTTTAAAACTGTGGTTTTAGGCAAGGCAAGATACAGAATTAAGGTATGATTCTAGACTGACATTACTACCATAGTTTAAACAAGGTATCTGTAGGCAGATATCACCAGGAATTGCAGCTAGTTTAAAACTGTTAGTGGATAATCTTAATATTTCCCTCCAGAGAGTAGGGACTTCATGTGGTTCGTTAACACTGTGTGAAATCAGTTTCCTATTTTGATTAAATCAGGCCAATCAGTAGAAGAGGCAAGAAATAAAGAATTAAGTCCAACAATTATTTTGAAAAGAAGAAAGCTATGAAAAACAAATTGGCAATAAACTTGTGTTCATGTGGCAGTGGAAGCAGCAAAATAAAGGAAAAACTCCCTAAAATGATAAACAGTCCCCCACCTCTAAAAAGACTAGTTGTGTCTGAAAGCACAAGAACATAAACAAGCAACGAAGACTAGAAACTGGAGACAGCGAATATAATAAAGAAGAACATAGGAAGTCTTCATTTAGCAACCGTTCACAGATATGGATATCTTTCATATGATGAAAAGGTATCCTTGCAACCAATCCTTATATCTATCTCCTTCACAGGTCTGCAAAGGAAAGGAAAGCTAAAGTAAAGGATCAGCAACACAGGGCACTTTCAGTTAGTGGCCACTTCCCTTAAGAACTGAGTAACCCATCCCAATGATGGCTGCTAAAGAAGGACTACTTGTAGCTAGACCCAGCAACGTTTTGCTTTAGGAGCGGAGAGCACGAGCAGAGTAAGAAATATGAAGCAGAACAAGAGGAAACAGACATAAAAAAAAAGAATGGGAAAGTGGAGCAACCCCTCCCAAAATACTGAAAGGGGATGTTATTAATGTAGACAAAGAGGGGAGAGATGAACAAGAGACCCCCAAGAATGGGAGGAGAGCTTTCCTAACTATGGGGCAGTGGAAGGGCTCAACCTCCTGGCAATATGGAAGAGGGGCTGGAGACCCACACTCAGCAAAAGGGCAGCCCCCCCTCCCCACCCATACACCTTTTAATGGAAGAAATAAATGCTGGGGTTGAAAAGACATCCTTTCTTGGATTCGTTTACTAGGCGTTTCCAAGAGCTAAGTCCGGGGAAGGGAAAGGAGAATAAAGAGCCTAAGGTTTGGGGCAGGGTTTTACTAAACAAACAAACGCTCCCTTCGGTCCAGTTGTTGCTCCAGGTCGGTCCCAGCCTTAGCCCAGGAGCCCCTCTCGTCTCCGTCTTTGGCCTTCGGGAAGCAGCACCGCAGGGAAGAAAAGCCCTGACAGGTACAGTACTCCTGCCCATGGAGGTTCCCCTGCACGGGGACTGCTGCGCCAGGACGGCAAGGCGGCTGGAGTTGCCCGCCGCGGAAGCCCCCAAGGCCCCTTTGGGCTAGTCGGTCTCCTCAGCACGGCCTACCTCGCGGGGTTGTTGTGGGGGCGATGGCGGAGGAGACCCCCGCCCCCAAACCCGCCGCGGGGAGGCGGGAGAGAGGAAGGCAGCCGGTCCCCAGGCCGGGAGAGAAGCGGGCCGACGGGGGCCTACGGTGAGAGGGAAGAGCGCGGGGCGAGAGGCCGGGAGGCGCCACAGGCCCCCAAGATAGGCGGGGGTCGCGAAGGGCAAAGCCGGCGGGGGTCACCGGGATGACTCGCTCGGTTCTCTCCTCACTCACCCCTCGGAAAGCGACGACGGCCACGGCCACCTTCGCCCGGCCAAGTCCAGCCAACCGCGGGGCAGCGACAGCGCCTCAAGAACCGCCTCAGCCGTTCGCCTCTGCGGCCGCCCGGCCGACTCGCCCGCTCGCCCGTCTTTCCTCCCTCTCGGCGGGGCTGACGGAGGACTTGGCGCGCGGCCCGAGCCCGCGAGCGCGCGCGCGCGCCCCCGTGTACGCCTCTCTCATCCCCCATAGCAACCGCCGACGCCCTCTCCCTCTTCCGGTCGAGAGCCGGCTAGTGATCTCTAACCCGGAAGTGCATCTCTCGACCGCGGCAGCCCGGCGGCCGAATGGGCGGGTGGGGGGGGGATGGAGGGGGGGAGAGGCTTATTATTCTATTGGAAGAAGGCGTCTCGGGTTGTGAAAACCTACACGACCTCTAGATGGCAGCCAAGAGCTCGGCAGCTCTATTTAATTTTAAGCAGCCAACCTCAAGCCGTGATGTCGCTAATTTGGCGCTGTGCGTTAGTGTTTCTCAGCCTTGGCAGTCCCAAAACTAGATAATCCTAGTCCTAAAACTAGATAAAGAGAAACCCAGTTAAAGAAATGGTTGATGAATCAACAATATACTGTATGCATTCATTGATTTATTCACCAAAATGATCCAAGATATGTGTATGTGAAGCTTCAGTAAGTGGGGTGATAACAATAACTGCCGCCAGGTATTTCCAATAACCATTGATCACTCCTGCCCATCAGCTGGGAGGAATTTGAGCCCATTCCTCCTTACAGATCAACTCAGGATGTCAGATGGGTTTCCTGACATAAACCGCCTGCTTCTGGTCTTTCCACATACAGGGGTAGGCAACCTCGGCTCTTGTATGACTCATGGACTTCAACTCCCAGAATTCCCGAGTCAGAATTCTGGGAGTTGAAGTCCATGAGTCATAAAAGAGCCGAGGTTGCCTAACCCCTGGTCTAGGGTTAAGGTCAGGATTTCAACTTGTCAGTTAATTTCCCTCTGCTCAAATCATTTGCACATGTTTTGGGTCATTTGCCTTGCTGCACGACCCACTTTCTCTTGGGCTTCAGTCCAGGGCAGATATTGACATGCTGGCTGGGGAATTCTGGGAGTTGAAACTCACCATCTTAAAACTGCCAAGCGTGAGACACACTGGCTTAAAGCACTGGGCTGAGAATAGGGGCCCTCAGGTTCCCCCTCAACTACTGGGGACTAGAACCCTCCCTCCCAGTCCACGAACCTGTATGGCAGGGGTCTTCAAAGTTGGCCCTTTTATGACTTGTGGACTTCAACTCCCAGAATTCCTCATCCAGGCATGCTGACTGAGGAATTCTGGGAGTTGAAGTCCACAAGTCATAAAAGGGCCAAGTTTGAAGATCCAGCTGTATGGTGTAACTGTAACTGGTGAAACATTTTGGCTTAGGGGCAAGGTCCCCACTTAGCCACAAAAGCTTGTTCTCTCTCAGCCCAACCTCTCTCTCACAGTTGTGGTGAGAAAAAGTAGGGAAGCTGTCAGTGGTGGGATTCAGCCAGTTCGCACCACTTCAGCAGAACCGGTAGCTAATTTTTTGTTGCCCAGGCCCAGAATGGACTTCCGGAAGCGGCATCCACACAGAGAACCGGTTGTTCACGTATTTAAATCCCACCACTGGAAGCTGTGCTCTCTTGGGTTCCTGGAAAGATGGGATATGAAGTTAATAAAAGAATAAATGAAACTATCTTAGTTTGCATACAGAAGATAATACATCCAGTTCCTAAGGAGGATAAACTTAGCCCACAACCTTTTAATTGGATTAACAGATCTAGTGTAGCCATCTCAGTGCTGCTTTTCATGATGATCAGCTCTAAATGCGGTTTGATCCAGCGGATTCCTTTTCACAATGGCTGGCTTTCCAATTTTCTAGGATAGCTCAGCATGCTGTTTGAAACTAGTCTTCATTCAACAAACCATAAATAGACATTTCTTCCTTCCATGCATGACAATGGTTAAATTCACCTGCAGGTTGTGTCATTTTTCTGTTTCAATTTTGTTGCTAATTTGTACAATTTGTTAGCTAGGATTGCATAATTGACTTGTTACATGTTTTAATGCAGAAAGATTTTTGCCTACATGTGCCTTATTTTACATGTCCTATAATAGTTTCTTCTGTGATTCCTGTATTTTTCCATTCATATCCAGCTGGTTGCCTTTCTCAACAAATCAAGCCCATAATCAAGACAGTTGGCTTCCACTGCCTTTTTTTTCCTGACTGGTAATTCAGTACCCAAATATAAATGTTCTCAAAGTTAATTTCTATTTGCTTCCATGGAATAAAATCCATAGAATGTTAATTGTGTTGGCAAGTATTTCACTGGCAGATTAGAGTCAACAGCTCAATTGCATTAAAAATATTAGCTGTAAGCCTTCCAATCTGTATGCTTTAGTGTTGAACAAGAGGAATCTGACAAAACTTCTATTTTAAAAATCTCCCTTAACAACTGCTTAGCTCAAGCATCTGTCAGTGCCACCATTTCATTAGCATGTCAGCCACATCTTACATTTTGCATTCATTCAGAGGATGAAGCCTTAGCATGTTTCCAAACCTGTATTTCCTGTAATGATTAGAAATGGAAGACAAGGCTAACTAGTGCATTCAATAAATCTTGGTTTAATAAACTGTATTCAAGATTGCTATCTAAATTAGGTAACAACCACTTCTGTAGTAGTAGGCAGAATGCGCAGGGCCCATGTGCTCCACCCATTGCATTGAGAACTACCCATCCTCTTGTATATTTTGGGTGGGAGTGATCAGTGTATATCTCCTCCCGTCCCCTAATCCAGGGGTCTTCAAACTTGGCCCTTTAATGACTTGTGGACTTCAACTCCCAGAATTCCTCAGCCAGCATGCCTGGCTGAGGAATTCTGGGAGTTGAAGTCCACAAGTCACAAAAGGGCCAAGTTTAAAGACCCCTGCCCTATTCTCTAAAAATGCCAGTTGCCTTGATCAAGACTGGGCAGCTGGCCCTCTATTTTTATGCAGGGTGTTGATTGTCATCTACAGCCAAAAAGAGACATGGCCCATCCTTTGAGGGAAATGGATGAAGGCACTTCCTTCTTATAAGATGTGATAGATGTTCCATTTATACCCTGGACTTAATTGGTTCATGCAAGCTTCCTGGATAAGATCTTTGATATTGTTGACTGGGATCATATCCTCTGGGTATGAATTGAATTGAGCCATATGCAGCCAAGATTGGTAAATGCTCAAAATTCCTTCTATCTCAAGGTCCTGTGTGTCAAAATTACAAATATGGAATACAACATTCGTATGATGACTTGCTTCCACTAAGGCATCATTGAGCTTCTGCAAAAATCTCCCCATGTGTTTGCTTTCATTACAGGTAGTCCTTGAGTTATAACCCTTTGTTCAGTGACTGTTCAAAATTACAACGGCACTGAAAAGTAACTTGCAACTAATCATCACATTTACATCCCCTCCCTAGGTCACATGATTAAAATTTGGTTGCTTGGCTACCAGCATGCATTTACAATGGTTGCAGGTCTCAGGATCTTGTGATCACCATTTTTGACCTTCACAGCCACTTAACAACAATGGCAAAAAGTTGTAAGATCTGGTGTAGCCTCCTTAACAACCACCTTGATTAGCAACGGAAATTCTGGACCCAATTGTGGTTGCAAGTTGAGGACTTCCTATAGTTATTTCATTATATACCTGTAATCTGCCTTTCCACCCACATGGTCTTCAAAGTGGCTTCTTACTCAATTTATTTCCCCACCCACCCGATGTAAGGCTTCCTTTGAACAAAAGATGCCATCTTTGTGTCATAAAGCTTCGTTTATTTACACATACCACGGTGAAGACAGTACGCTCAGTCAACAAATATGTTTGACATCCTAGAAATCAGTGAGACAAGAATGTTAGCTATCATTCTAAAAAAAGACCTTGACTTATTAACTAGGCCAAAATACCTGGTTATCTTCCATTCAGACTCCACAGGGCCGTTGAAAACTGCAGCAAGGTTTACATTCATGTTAATTCTTCCACAAAACCAGGGTTAGAATCTATTCATTTCTATTGGCAACCAACAGAAATCAGACATCATTCTGGAAAAGGGTAGGGATTGTATTTTTGGAGATGCTTTTTCCATTTCCCAGTACATCCTACAATTGGGGATTTTCCAACTGGTCTTTCATCTTCAATGCAAAATCACATCTAACAGGGCTTAGCTTTTTAAGATCAGCCAAGACTGTCTAAGTGTTGTCATCTGCTGGGGAGAAGGAGCAGATACAATCCTAATACAGTACATATTATAAATAAAAACTTCAGGGAATAAACATCTTTGCCTGAGACTACAGTAGCAAAATGAGTTCGGTATTTAGACTGGAAGCTGAAGCACCAGGAGATTTTTTTTTTAATGCTCCCCCCATTTAAATAATTCCCGCACATTTAAACATAACTATCACATACAGAAAAGAAGGAAGAAGGTTTTGGTCACAACTCAAGAGTCGTCTGCAGAAGGCTTTCTTTCAATTTGCAGGAAAGTATTTTTAATCTTCAAAACAGCATTCATTAGCAGTCTCCAAATATTACTATAAAATGATGCCATTCATCCTGTATTACCCAAACCTGCTAAATATGAAGACCAGGCCTAATACAAAGGCCATCACAACCCAGAAATTCATTTTCAGGGCACTTATTAAAACCGTAAACAATTATGATTTCAAGATGGCGGTCTTTGGGTTAGCAAAACAGGTTGCATCACATTCTCAACACCTGGGTTGCAAGATCAAGGTTGGACCCAAATTAAATCATGGCGTGTGTTGATCTGAAAGATATGAGTCCTCAGTGGTGATGTGTCTTCATTTATCATGCTGCTGCCCCATCTAGTTCAAAGGTTTACATCGGAAAAAATGTTGAACGGTTGACTGAACCTTTTCAACAGGATAACAGAATACTAGAAATGTATCCTGCCTCCCAATTCCCAGGTTTGGGAAAACAAGATATACTAAGTAAAACATAGGGCACACTAGCGAACTGTCTCTATACATCTCTGCTTAGCCATGCCAACAGAAAAAGGGGAACTCATTTTCAGCATGGGGAATCCCCAATACATATTTCTCTGAGAATGCCATTCGTCCTGATTTTAAAAGACACACAATCCCTGATTATTCCAATGAAACCCCTGCTTCTGTTATAGCAGAGTGTCTGCATTCACCTACATACCGTCTACTTAGCTACTCAAATGCCTTCTGTGTTTGCAGTGATGGAGCTGTTCACATCCCAATGCAATTCAGCTTAACACGGAATACTTTCGCATCTGCAGGTATGTGATTTTTAATCAGTATTTTTTTAGAATTATTATATGAGTTCATCAGTACTTCAGCTGCCTTTTGGGCTCAATGAGTGAAAGAAAAGGAAGGGAGGGGTAATAAATAAACAGCCGCACCTACAGTATTCCTTCAAAGAGCATTCACTCGCTTTTGCTGTGTGACATGATCCGACAAGAAGCATGTTCTTCCTGGACAACAGTTAATGTTGCAGGAGTATAAATTTCAGACATGCTATCATTGTTCTCCAGGGCGCCATAGGAAAAAGAAGTCTTGAGTTCGGGCTGAACTGCCGTTCCGTTGTCGTGCAGATTCTGCATGCCTGAAGGATAAAGATGGAGTGGTTTGAAATGCAGGGGTTTCAAAACAGACAGAAGTTCAATTGCTGTCTTTTGACTTGTCGCTTCCATTAATCTAACCAAACTATAATTTCATCTTCTAAAGCAGGGCTTTTCAACCTTTTCACCCATTGTACCACTTTTAGGATATGGCAATGTCCGAGTACCACCAGTCGCCTAGCAAAGTGTCAAAAACTTGATGACCAAAAAAAAGGGGGAAAAAAGTACTGGTAGTCCTTGACTTACAACAGTTCGCTTAGTGACTGTTCCAAATTACAATGGCACTGAAAAAAATGCCCTCCAAGCCACAGCCGAGCAAGACACCTGCCTGCCCACCCAGCGGCGCTCTTCCTCCTGTCCGAGATTTTCATTGTTGTGAGCATTTCTGTTGAGGATTGGCAGCGGGGGTGGGGTGGAGGGTGTTTGGTTTTTATTCCCCCCATCTGCAGGTTGCAGCAGGTTTTGGTCACTATGATGGTCACATGACCCTGGAACACTGTGACCATCATAAATATGAATCAGTTACCAAGCATCTGAATGTAAATCACAAGACCCTGGAGATGCTGCAACATTCCACCTGATCGGCACTTCTTCAGGGTTCAGCAGAAGCACCAGGATCAGCACCGAGCTCCAGCTGGAACCTGTCGCTGATCCTGGCACTTCCACTAAGCCCTGACAGCCCTGAAGAAGTGCTGATCAGCTGGAAAGCGGCACTGATCCTGGTGCTTCCGCTGAGCCCTGACAGCCCTGCAGCTCCAGCCATCTCTCACTTAGGCTTGTGCGGTGCTGCCACCAGTTCAGCTCATTCCCCTCCCCCACTACCACTTTTCTAGGATGGTCGCGTACCACCTGCCAGGTGCCAATGTACCACAGGTGGTTCCCGTACCAGTGGTTGAAAAGCCCTGTTCTAAAGGAGGGCTGACTGGGGAATTCTGGGAGATGAGGTCCACCCATCTTAAAGCTACCAAGACTGAGAAACACTGTTCTAAAGTTTGGATCCCAAAACCCACATTCTGAGACTTAGCTGGTCTGGGAATCAGAGTTGCATCACACTGGATGGCAGCAAGATTGGATCACCTTACGACAGTGTTTCTCAACCTTGGATGCTTAAAGACAATTGTGGGAGTTGAGGTCTGAGGTTGAGAAACACTGCTTCAAGAGAGGGAGGGAAAGGAAGAGAGACTAAACATCTATTGAAATATCCAAGATATAGACCTCAAGTTAGAATGGGTGGCAAACTAATAATAATAATAATAGTAGTAGTAGTATTATCTCCAAATTGAATAGGGACACTGTCCAAATCTTTGCAGTTTTTCAAGGTTATTGAGGGGTGAGATAATGTTTTAATTCTCTACAACAGGGGTCTTCAAACCTGGCCCTTTTATGACTTGTGGACTTCAACTCCCAGAATTCCTCAGCCAGGCACGAATTCTGAGAGTTGAAGTCCACAAGTCATAAAAGGGCCAAGTTTGAAGACCCCTGCTCTACATGACCTAAAGCAAATTTTTGCCTCTTAAATCCCTCCCTCAATACTCCAAAATCAAATCTAAAATGGATGAAAGGAGACTCTGAAAGTGTATTTATTTAATAGGCCACTCATCTCATATATGAGACTCTGGGCAGCTCTTAAAATAGGAGAAAAACAGAATAAACCAGGGAAGCGATCAACATTAAAAGGAACATCAATAAAAGCCAAGAACATTCATGACATTACACTTTCAGTATAACCACAATTAGGGTCATCCATGCTGCTTTTGTGCCCCATTTTTTTACCCAACCTACAGTGGGGTGAGGTCAATCAGCTTGTCAGTTTTTACTGGCTTATCAAAAAGGTAATAGATTTTAAGATTACTTGGCATGGCATCCATGGAGATGTAAGGCTCAAAAAAGATGCATTTCCTCTTGTTCCTAGTGATCAGAAAGACACCTAAAAATGCAATGAGGCATCTGAAAGAGATTTTAAAAGGGCAAGATAAAGAAGTTTGAAACATATACGAGAGAAAACATGGCTGACAGCTAAAAATCTTAGCTACCCATTGACCTCACAGAAAGTGAGTCATCAGTCTACATGCTACCTCAGTTGATGGGGCAAAGTAAACATTTCCGGACACTGTTATAAGACTATTCAGGACACAAGTGAAGCATCTGTGAAGAGCAGGAACATCAAAAAATAGTTCTAACTAAATTTAGTTCTTTCCAAAGCCACAGGGAGAGCTGAAGTGCCCTTCTAACCCTCTGAGAAATTTATTGAGACCTTGTTTACTCAAAATAGTTGTGCACGAGCCCTCTCTACCTCAACACAAACTCTTAAGGAAAAGAACAGCATCAGAGACTTTGCAGGAATGAGGAATTTGTTATTATTATGGTTGGCCGCATAGCCAGCCAGCTGTTCAGACTAGATTTGGCATTTTTATTCATCTACTGAGTCCTTCCCAAGGACCCGGTGTAGACCGACATGGATGCCGGGATATGATTGGACTCGCGGTATGACTGGATTATTTTATTTTATTGTTTTATGACTGTTTTTAACTTTGTACGCCGCCCTGAGTCCTTTGGGATTGGGCGGCATATAAATATTTGTAAATAAATAAATAAATAAATAAATGTTTGATGGGGTTAAAGGTATTGTTGCAGGATGTAAGCTGTTTGAAGTAAAGCTGCCTTCTGCAATTGACTGATGGTGAACTTGTCAATGCCAATGGTGTTGAAGGGATGCTCTAGTTGTTTTGGGATTGTACCCAAGTGTCCTATTACCATTGGTACTTATTTTTGTTTTCTTATTTTTAAGAGCAGTGATAATAGATGCAGGCAGAATACGAGGAGAGGAAAGAAGGGTGAACAAATGACATGTATTTCGGATGTTCTTGAAAGGAGAAGCATTCGCTGCTCCCATGGGCCCTCTCCAGGAATAAGGGCTCCTAGGCATCTCCACCCATTAGCAGTCCCTTTGACATCCCAACTCTGAATTCACAAGCTTTTCCATATGCAGTGGTGTCCAGCAATACAGTGTAAATCCTGTCCCATGCATTGTGTGATATCATAATGCATGCATCAAAGGGCGCAGCTTCTGTTCTGACACTTTTGATCTTTTGTCAATTTGTCCTCACATTTTTCCCCTTCTGCAGACACTGATCCCCGTAATTTCTCAGAAATAATAATAATAATAACAATAACAACAACAACAATAATAATAGAAACACTGTGGCAAAAACAAGCAAGGGAACAGTAATAGGCACCTTGGGTGCAATCCCAAAACAACTGGAGCACCACTTGAACACCATCAGCATTGACAAATTCGCCATTAGTCAATTGCAAAAGGTGGCCTTACTAGGAACTGCTTCCATCCTGCTACGATATCTGTAATACCATCAAACATCCACATCTGCCTATCCCAGGTCCTTGGGAAGGACTCGATAGACAAAAATGCCAAATCCAGTCTGAACATCTGGCTGACTGTGCGATGATCCACAATAATAATAATAATAATAATAATGATGATGATGATGATGATGATGATGATGTTGGAAGGGACCTTGGGGGTCATCTAGTCCAACACCCTGCTCAGGCAGGAAACCCTATACCACTTCGGACAAATGGCTGTCCAGTTTCTTCTTAAAAACTTCCAGTGTTGGCGCATTCACCGCTTCTGGAGGCAGGCTGTTCCACTGGTTAATTGTTTTCACTGTCAGGAAATTTCTCCTTAGTTCTAGGTTGCTTCTCTCCTTGATTAGTTTCCATCCATTGCTTCTTGTCCTGCCTTCAGGCGCCTTGGAAAATAGCTTGACTCCCTCTTCTTTGGGGCAGCCCCTGAGATATTGGAACACTGCTATCATGTCCCTCCTCATCCTTCTCTTCATTAACTGTCCTGGCAAATATAAGGCCTGAACTTTTTGCTCAAGAGCAGTGGTTCTCAACCTGTGGGTCGGGACCCCATTTGGGGTCGAACATCCATTTTATGGGGGTCACCAAACAACACAGTCCGCCATTTTTTTCCTTTTTCCTTAGCTGCGCTACTCCCTTTTATTTTATTGGCTTTTGAAAGCCAATAGAATAGACTCTCTTGAATAGAGTCTAATCCTATTGGCTTTCAAAAACCAATAGGAATTGTCCAGGCTGTCTCTGCCCTGCTGAGCCCGCCAAAAGTCCCAGTCTGCAAACGGTGCTGCACCAGTTGAGTAGTCCTCGACGTACGACTGGTTGAGTAGTCCTCAACTTACGACCGGTTGGGGGTCGCGGTATTAAAAAGGTTGAGAACCACTGAGTTAGAAGATGTCCAAAGTAGCCTTTGAATAGCCACCATCCATTAAAAGGAAAGAGCCTTGCCAAGCAGAGAAAAAGGAAATGAAAAAAGGTACTCAGAGCCCATAAGCTATATCGATATTGTAAACTTACCCCAAAGAAAACATACAAATATGGAGAACATCCTCTCCAAAAAAGTCCAAGTAAAAAACTGCACCTAAAAAAGAAAAGAAGCTTTCTCAAATAGAACTTCCTTTAACAAATGCTAGGCGAAGATTAGCAAAATGTTAACAGCATCAACAAACTTAAAACATATCCAAGGAGACAGAATTGGTGCGTGGATAGATCATATTTTTATAACTCGAAAGACTGCCAATTAAGCCAGGAGTCTTCAAACTCGGCCCTTGTATGACTCATGGATTTCAACTCCCAGAATTCCTCAGCCACGCATGCTGGCTGAGGAATTCTGGGAGTTGAAGTCCACGAGCCATAACAGGGCCGAGTTTGAAGACCCCTGAACTAAGCTATCCAGAGAAGAGACGGGAATGATCAGATGCTTGGCAACTGATATATTTATGACAGTTACAGCATCCTTGGGTCACGTGATCACCATTTATGATCTTCCCAGGAGGCTTCCTCATAACCAGGGGTATCCAAACTTGGCAACTTTGAGGCTTGTGGACTTCAACTCCCAGAATCCTCCAGCCAGGGTGGAGAATTGAAGTCCAGAAGCCTTAACGTTGTCAAGGTTGGACAGCCCTGCTTTACATGTTTAAATAAGTCCTGTAACTTATTGGATTCGAACTCTAGTGGGTACAAAACTCAACCTCGCTGAAAACTGACTAGTGTCCTCTATTGAATATATATAGTAATGAAATCAAACCCAATGGCAGAGAAGTTTTGTTAGGCACCAGAAACCTGGTCTAAATTTGAAATGTCTGTCTCATGGGAAAAGCAGTTCCTAAAGGGAGCCACAGAATCTTGTCATCAACGCAGGCGATTTCACTTTAAGCATTAAAAAGATATTTCAAGGGAAGCATTCGGTTAGGGACTCTCTCCCGGGGATGGGAAATCTGGCAAAATCCATTTCAGGCTACAGGTAGTCCTCGACTTACAACAGTTCATTTAGTCACTGAAAAAAGGAACTTACAGTAGTGCCCAAAATTGTGGAAACCTTTTGGGAAAAGTGTATTTTTGAGGCTTGACGGCTAATAACACCCCTTTTTCTTGGAGTAGTACCATAAAATTATATATCAATGGAAAGATAATTTAATCAAGAATGTAATGCAACATAGTTTGTTCAATTATCTGTACTGTATTCTGTGAAAAGTTATAGCCAAATAAGCAGAAAAAGGAAGCACAACTTGCTTAGGTTGATAACGGGTAGCTTTCCTTCATCATCATGCCAATGAGCATGAGTGTTTAGAGAGCCAATCGGGTGTCATCTTGTTTTGGCAATGAGCCAATCAGATCACAGTAGGATTCAGTTATTGATGTCATGGATTGAAGCTGAGAGGAGGACATTGGTCAGGGTGTTATGTGATCGCTATCAAGTTGGTTGGGTTTTTTTTGTGTTCTTTCATTTAGTGAGCTTGTAAAACATAGTAAAATTAAAGTAATGGTGCAAAGAGTTGATTGGTTGCCCAGAAAGCGATGTAAAATAGTATTATTAAGTGACCAAGGCTACAGTTATAAAGAAATTAGAAGAAAAATGGGTGGAAACTTAACCAAAGGTGGCATTTCTATTCTACACTTTTCCCAAAAGCTTTCTGTCAACACTGCAAATACTGTATATTCTTGCTTTGACAAAATATGCAGAACTGTCTGGTATTTTTAGAGTTAATGCAGAGCAGAGGAGGGAAAAGCCTGCGAAACAGAAAGGAAGGGATCCTTTGCCCTTCACGCTAATTGGTGAACGTATATCATGACAGCAAAGTAGGGAGTGGAAATGCTAGCAAAATACTGCTGGGTGGGTGGGAATTTTAGATCTTAGTATACCTTCGTTATGCCGTGCAGACATTTTGTAACATAATAAATGACTTTTAGGAAAATCAATGCCTGGAAGTTCTTTGAAGTGTTTCATTAGCCCAGTGGTTCTCAACCTTTTTAATGCTGCGACCCCCAACCGGTCGTAAGTCGAGGGCTACTCAACCAGTCGTAAGTCGAGGACTACTCAACTGGTGCAGCACCATTTGCAGAATGGGGCTTTTGGCGGGCTCAGGCAGGGCAGAGACAGCCTGGACAATTCCTATTGGCTTTTGAAAGCCAATAGAATTAGACTCTATTCAAGAGAGTCTATTCTATTGGCTTTCAAAAGCCAATAGAATAAAAGGGAGTAGCACAGCTAAGGAAAAGGGGGGGAAAATGGCGGACTGCGTTGTTTGGCGACCCCCATGAAATGGTCGTTCGACCCCAAATGGGGTCCCGACCCACAGGTTGAGAAATGCTGCATTAGCCGGAACCATAACAGGTTTCCACAATTTTGGCCACTACTGTATGATCATTTTTCGGTTACTATTAAAGTCAATGGGGAAGCCTTATCATTTAGCAACTGTGGCAAGAAAGGTCGTAAAATGAAGCAAAACTCCCTGAACAAATGTCTCACTTAGCAACAGAAATGTTGGGCTCCGTTCCGGTCATAAGTTGAGGACTACCTGTATTTGCTGATCAGCTGCTGTCATCATTTTAATGCACCGATATACACCCACCTGCTGAAATTCCTATCACAGTGGACAGGATATAGCCCACACTGGCAATCTGGGATACATCAAACGAGTGAGAAGCTTGGGTTAAAAACCTAGGAGAAAAATAAATACAGCGGAGGGGGAAAAAAAACTATCAGACAACACGGTGCATAAATAACAAAACATTTCACAAAAGCCAAAGAGCTTTCAGCACAGAAAAGAGTAGCTTAGAAACCATGAACCAAAACCAGGATCACCAGTCTTGAGATTCGGCTGTTGATCTTGTGGGCAAAACAAGCAGATTTGCATGGCCAAAGTTCAGCTCATTCCAAAGTGTTCAGGTAATGTTTTACAACGATGGATCCTTGGTGCTCTCTGAGCTTGGTGGATTTTTTTTGCTGCTTTGGGCAATGAAATGTCTGTAAGAAAGCAACTAAGCTCAGAGAGCAGCAAGGACCCCTCATTTCAATCCTGAGCTGCAAATATTATCCTTTTTTGGTACTACGTATGGATGTCAAATGTTCCAGAAAGCATGCAAATGGGAAAAATGTTTTTCAATCTTCGTAACTTTAAGATGTATGGACTTCAAGTCCCAGAATTCCCCAGCCAGCTGTGGGACCAGAATTTCCATTGCTAAGCAAGGCAATTAAGCGACTTGCACTTGATTTTATGACCTTTTTGCCACCGTTGTTAAGCAAATCACTCTAACTGTGAAGTGAATCTTGTGGTTGTTAATCGGATCTGGCATCCCTCACTGACTTTGCTTGTCAGAAGCCAGTATGGAAAGATTGCAAAGGAGGATTCATGACTTTGGGACACTGGAACTATCGTAAACACGCTGCCAGTTGTCAAGTGCCCAAATTTTGGTCCGGTGACTGTAGGGATGCTCCAATAGTTGTACGTCTGAGGGCTGGTCATAGGTCACTTTTTGCAGTGTGGTTGTAATTTCAAACCATCACTAAACGAATGGTTGTAAGTTGAGAACTACTGGGTATTGGCTGGCTGTGGAAATCAAAAATATCTGTATAGTGGAGAAGGAGAGAAACTGCTAGAATGAAATGTAACAGAGTAGAAAATAATAGTATGGTATGGTATGGTATGGTATGGCATGGCATGGCATGGCATAGCATAGCATAGTTTAGTTCAGTTCCTGGAGGAACGTTGTCCATGGGGTTGCGATGGGTCGGACATGACTTCGCAATTAACAACAACAAAGTATAGTATAGTATAGTATAGTATGGTATGGTATGATATGGTATTAGTATTAGTATAGTATAGTATAGTACAGTGGTGGCGAACCTATGGCACGGGTGCCAGAGGCGGCATGCAGAGCCCTCTCTGTGGGCACGTGCACCGTCGCCCCAGTCCTAGGCCTTCAGCTGGGTTTTATAAAATCTTTTCTCTTTAGACCTCCGCCGCCATGTGCAAAAATAAAAATAAATTCAATCAACTTTTCGTGGGAAAAAAAAGATCTTGCAAAGTTGGAATTGATTGATTGAACTTTTTACTCCCACCCAGTCTCCCATTACCACAGCCACGCCCATCCAATGGGCCATGCCCACCCAACTGGCCACACCCAGCCAATGGGCCACACCCACCCGGCACTCGACGATGCATGTGGGTTTTGGGTTGCAGTTTGGGCACTCAGTTTCTAAAAGGTTTGCCATCACTGGTATAGTATATTAGACTACACTAGAAGAATAGAACAGAACAGAATAGAATTCTTTATTGGCCAAGTGTGACTGGACACACAAGTAATTTGCCCGTGGTGCATAAGCTCTCAGTGTACATTACAACAAAGTAATATAATCATAAGATACCAATAATAGAAGGTAATAGGAAAGATGAGAAGGATAATAGTAATACGGCCCTACTACATGGGTAAATATCCTTAGACATAAGACAGTGCTGCAGGAATTAGGTGTTCAGCAGAATGATGGCACAGGGAAAAGTCTAGTTGTTTTGGCATGCAACGCCCTATAGTGGCATCCTGAGGGGAGAAGTTGAAACATGCCTGTGGTCTGTACATACTTTTTCAGCCCTCTTTCCGACCTGTGCAGTATACAGGTACTCAATGGAAGGCAGGCTGGTTGCAACTATTTTTTCTGCAGTCCTAACTATCTGTTGGAGTCTGTACCGGTCCTGTTTGGTTGCTATACCAAACTATAGCTTTGGCTACCAACTATGGTTACAAATGGAACCTTAAGATCCAGAAAAAAACATCTCTTATTCTATGTAAGGAAGGATGCTCTGCATTTCCATCCCTCTGAGCACACTTCCAGCACTCCACGCAAGCTGCAACGAGAGTGGGACGCTGGCATTTAGCTGTGTGTTCCCAAATGCTCCCCTTGAAGTCTCTTTAGAACAGGAAATTATTTAAATTGCTACTAAAAGGCCCATCTCTGGTCAGAAACAGCAACAAGAATGCAATTACCTACGGTAGTTTCCACTGCCACCTGCTGCATAGGCTCTATTTTTAATCTATAATTCATTTTAATTAAATTTGAATTGCCTTGACATTTGGTGGCGAGCTGCAGGAAGAAAACACACATTTGGGGAGGAAGAAAGGAAGGAAGGAAGGAAGGAAGGAAGGAAGGAAGAAAGAAAGAAAGAAAGAAAGAAAGAAAGAAAGAAGAAAGAAAGAAAGAAAGAAAGAAAGAAAGAAAGAAAGAAAGAAAGAAAGGAAGGAAGGAAGGGAAAGAAAGGAAGGGAAAGAAAGAAAGAGAAAGAAGAGAGGGAGAGAGGGAGAGAGAAAGAAAGAAAGAAGGGAGGGAGGAAGGAAGAGAAAGAAAGAAAGAAAGGAAGAGAAAGAAGGGAAGGGAAAGAAAGAAAAAAAGGAAGGAAAGAAAGGAAGGAAAAGAAAGGAAAAGAAAGGAAGGAAGGAAGGGAAAGAAAGAAAGAGAAGGAAGAGAGGGAGAGAGGGAGGGAGAAAGAAAGAAAGAAAGAAGGGAGGGAGGGAGGAAGGAAGAAAAAAAAGAAAAAAGGGAGCGAGGGAGGGAGAAAGAAAGAAAAGAAGGAAGGAAGGAAGGAAAGAAAGCTTGGCTCCACTTACTCTGCCTGAAAGGCTGTTGTTGCCACCATGCACACTGCCATGATGTAGAAGATGGGGTAGCCCAGTTGCATATTCCCCCGAATGGAAACCGCAACCATGCCCGCAACGGCTTTGACAGTAATGACAGTCATGGAACCTGAAAAACCACCAATAAACCTTGTTTTGTTCAAGATCAAAGACTAACAACGGCGAGCGAAAACCAGTACAGGTAGTCCTTGACTTACAACTACAGTTGAGCCCAAAATTTCTGTGGTTAAGTGAGTTTTGCCTCATTTTACGACCTTTCTTGCCACAATTGTTAAGTGAATCACCGCAGTTGTTAAGTTAGTAACACGGTTGTTAAGTGAATCTGGCTTCTCCATTGACTTTGCTTGTCAGAAGGTAGCAGAAAGTGATCACATGACCTCGGGACACGGCAACCGTCATAAATACAAGCCAGTTGGCCAAGCGTCTGAATTTTGATCAGGTGACTATGAGGATGTTGCAACGGTCATATGTACAGGTAATCCTCAACATACAACAGTTTGTTTAGTGACTGTTCAAAGTTACAACGTCACTGACAAAAGTGACTTACGACCATTTTCCACATTTACGACCATGGCAGCATCCCCATGGTCACCTGATCAAAATTCAGACAGTTGGCCACTGACTTGTACTAATGAGAGTCGCAGCGTCCTGGGGTCATGTCAATTACCTTTTGCAACATGTCTGAGAAGCAAAGTCAATGGGGAAGCCAGATTCCTAACAATCATGTTATTAACTTAACAACTTAACAATGGTGGCAAGCAAGGTCGTAATAATGGGCCAAAATTCACTTAACATGTGTCTCACTTAGCAAGAGAAATTTTGAGCTCAATTGTGATCATAAATCGAGGACCCACCTGTAATGGGAATTGCCGAGACCCCATCAACGGGAACAAGAACTTGACTTATTCAGGATCCAATCTGGGTCGGTTAACGGGACTGGAGGTTTCGTCTTCCGAGTTTTCGGACCTGTGCTGGGGCCCATCTTCAATGAACTTCTATCAGGGTGTGTGCTGTTCTAGATGTGGTAGTTATGGTGCCTGTTGTATGTGGCTTTTTAGATGTTGATTGGGGTGTGTTGATGGCTGGCCAAACAACATCTAAAAAGCTACTTACAACAGGCACCATAAACACCACACACAGACCAGCACACTTACCGGTAGAGAGAAGTTCCCCGAGCATTGACTCCAGAACGAGTCCAAAAGCTTGGAAGAAACCTCCGCTCTCAGTCCCCAACCCAGATTAGATCCTGCAACATTATCCTGAGACACGTATATTCGCCTTAATTCATTGACTTATTCAACTCTCTCCAACTTAACCCTTGATGGATTTTTTTTTTAACAATCTTTTTTATTAATTTTTTTTCCCATCAACATACGTTAATTTTTCCAATCAACAAGTTGTCTGGTGTTTGCTAAGCTAATACATGTTCACTTCCTAATGCTTCATTCTTTTCTCTAACCAAGAATAAAATAAATTCCAAATTTTATAATAGTCGGTATCTTCTTTGTCTTTCAGCCTCATAGTTAGTCTGTCCATCTCTGCACATATTTTCGTGATTATTTCTTCTTCTGATGGCAATCCTTCATGATGAATTTATTTTTATCTGGATATTATTCGTGGGGCTTTCTCTAGGTCAGTGGTTCTCAACCTTTTTAATGCCGCGACCCCCCCAACCGGTCGTAAGTCGAGGACTACTCAACTGGTGCAGCACCATTTGCAGAATGGGACTTTTGGCGGGCTCAGCAGGGCAGAGACAGCCTGGACAATTCCTATTGCCTTTTGAAAGCCAATAGAATTAGACTCTATTCAAGAGAGTCTATTCTATTGGCTTTCAAAAGCCAATAGAATAAAAGGGAGTAGCACAGCTAAGGAAAAGGAGGGAAAAAATGGCGGACTGCGTTGTTTGGCGACCCCCGTGAAATGGTCGTTCGACCCCAAATGGGGTCCCGACCCACAGGTTGAGAACCGCTGCTCTAGGTAGCTATCTTCTGGTGGCTCAGAATCCTTTTGGAGTCAGTCTTGAAATCAATAAATCAATACATAAAATTTTACTCCTGGGGGTGGGGTGGGGTGTGATGGGTCAGGATTTCTGCAAGATGCAGCCCCCAAAACACCGATCGTAGGAACAGCCACCTTTAGGGAAGCTGAACGGAGATTGAGCTTTGCACACATACCATATGCATGAGCTTGGTTCTTTGCTAATCAGAGGCAGAGGTTTAGCAATCCAGTTGGTGTAATTTACCTTACATAAAGAGGAAGAAGAGAAGAACTTACCAAGAAGGGCTACCAGGAGCAGAATCACCACGATATGGTTTGCTTTCTTTTCCTTGTAGAAATATAAAAGCAGGCAGAACGCAATGATCTCCACCAGCTAAAGAAAGGAAAGAGAACAGATAAGGTCCTGGGTTTGAAATAAAGCTGGCTTTCCAGTCTTTGTCTTTTCACATTCTTGCCCTTGCAGGCTGAAGAGACAGACCTCCCTTTTGGAAATGAAAAAAGGGGATCCCCTTGCCCTAGTTCCCCCCCAAAATCTGGGAGCTGGCTGGAGTTTGCATTCCAAGTACAGGTAGTCTTCAAGTTACAACCACATTGGAAGATGCCTATTATCGTCACATGCTGTAACGATGGTAAAATGATTTTACTTTTTTTGTGACAGTCATTAGGTGAACACAGAGGTCATAAGTGTAAACCAGAAGTGCCAGTTTTGAGCAAAACTGCCACAAAATCCAGTCATGTGACTACAGGACACTGCAAGTGGCCATCAATGCGTGTTGAGAAGTGCCCAAACTGCCATCACGTGACTCTGAGGACTGTTCAAAATTACGACCTACCTGAAAAAGAGGACTTATGATCCAGCTCTGAAGGGGAATTTCCTCCAATGACCATTGGGACTTCAGATTTGGGTGATAAGTCCCCTTTTTCAGGTAGGTCATAACTATCTGTATCAGCTTAGGGCAGGGGTCTTCAAACTTGGCCCTTTTATGACTCATGGATTTCAACGGCTGGCTGAGGAATTCTGGGAGTTGAAGTCCATGAGTCATAAAAGGGCCGAGTTTGAAGACCCTTGGTTTAGGGCAGTGGTTAATACAAAGTGGGTCAGGACCCCATTTGGGGTCGAACGACCATTTCATGGGGGTCGCCAAACAACGCAGTCCGCCATTTTTTTCCCCTTTTCCTTAGCTGTGCTACTCCCTTTTATTCTATTGGCTTTTGAAAGCCAACAGAATAGACTCTCTTGAATAGAGTCTAATTCTATGGGCTTTCAAAAGCCAATAGGAATTGTCCAGGCTGTCTCTGCCCTGCTGAGCCCGCCAAAAGTCCTATTCTGCAAACGGTGCTGCACCAGTTGAGTAGTCCTCGACTTACGACCGGTTGAGTAGTCCTCGACTTACGACCGGTTGAGGGTCGCAGCATTAACAAGGTTGAGAACCACTGGTTTAGGGAGACTGAATTAGAGATTAGGCTTCAAACACTGCACTACTCATGCCGGGCTGGGGAATTCTGGGAGTTGAAGTCCATAGGTCTTAAAGTTGCCAAGATTGGACACCCCTGACTTAGGTGGAGTGCAGCTTATTTTACCTATTTGTTAAATGTGGATCCTGCCTTTTCTCCAGGAACTCAGGGCAACGCATATAACATTCCCTAAGGCTAAGCCAAGCTTCACCCATCACAACAGCACAGCTAAATAGACTGGGCTGAGGGAAAAGGATTTGGCCCAAAGTCACGCAGGGAGCTCTCGTGGCCAACAGTCAATTTGAACCTAGGTTCAAAGCTGCTGCTAGTCCATATGGCACCTTATGCAATTGGTGCCCCTGAAACAGAGGAACATGTCTGGGCATTTCTGGGTCCGCCATCTTGCTCATGAACAAGCAAACACAACCCTGTAAGCTATTAGGCAGTGCTTCAGTTCCTGAGTAATTATTATTTTAATTATATTCTTATAATCATGTGTAATTATTTTAATTATATTCTTATAATCTTGTGTAATTGTTATTTTAATTATGTACTTTGTTTATGGAGGTTTTATTACACTGAGTTTTGGTTAAAGTTGTTTATACACGATGGATGACCGTACACATTTAAAATAACAACAACAATAGTAAGTTATAAGGGACTTGGAGGTCATCTAGTCCAACCCCCTGCTCAGACAGGATACCCTATACCATTTCAGATAAATGGCTGTCCAGTCTCTTCTTAAAGACTTCCAGTGTTGGAGCATTCACCGCTTCTGGAGGCAGGTTGTTCCACTGGTTAATTGTTCTCACTGTCAGGAAGTTTCTCCTTAGTTCTAGGTTGCTTCTCTCCTTGATTAGTTTCCCTCCGTAGCTTCTTGTCCTGCCTTCAGGCGCTTGGGAGAATAGCTTGACCCCCTTCTTTGGGGCAGCCCCTGAGATACTGGAACACTGCTATCATGTCCCCCCTCGTCCTTCTCTTCATTAAACTAGACATACCCAATTCCAGCAGCCGTTCCTTATATGTTTTAGCCTCCAGTCCCCTAATCATCTTGGTTGCTCTTCTCTGTAGTCTTTCTAGAGTCTCAACATAAATCAATAAAATAAAACAATACAATCTTCTGGGGGACACACCTATTTGCTGAATTTCTTCTTTCTGCTAGCAGATTGCTCATTTTTGGTTGTTTTGGTCAGAAAGTGAATAGCCTCCCCACTAAACCAGCTGCTCTCAATAACACAAGAATTGATCCTCTGTAATTTGTAAACCTAGATTATTACAATGAGTTGGCCAACTTGGTTTGTTTAACCCACTACAGCTAAAATAACCCAAGATCTTGGGTTTAAACACAACATCTAGGCTGGATATAATGTAAGGATAGCAATAGCATTTAGCACTTAGACTTATATACCGCTTCACAGTGCTTTATAGTTCCTCTCTAAGCGGTTTACAGAGTCAACGTATTGCCCCCAACAATCTGGATCCTCAACTTAACAACCTTGGAAGAAAGAAAGCCTGAGTCAACCTTGACCTGGTTAGGCTACCTAGAGAGTAAGGATGTCTAGGAATCCATTGTAACTACAGATCTAAATTTGGGGTCACATCATGTTAAATCATAATGTTACCTAATTGGTTTCACCGAATAACAAAGTGTTAATACATTATTGTGATTTGCAAATCATGGTTTATGGCAAGGGGGCAGTCAACTTTTTGATGCTTGGGAACCACTCTTAACAAACTTGGAGCTGAACCGTGGTGGTACTGGAGAGAGGGTTGCTTGTTTCCTTAAAGCAGGGGTCCCCAACCCCTGGTCTGTGGACCGGTATTGGGCCATGGCATGCCAGCAACCAGTCCGCACAAACAAGCAAAGCCCCATCCGCGGGATGCAGGCAGCACACAAAACCACGAGCCCTCTGGTCCGTGGAAAAACCTCTCCCCATGAAACCGGTCCCTGGTGCCCAAAAGTTTGGGGACCTTTGCCTTAAAGTATTGGGCCAGATTCTTGATTATTCTTAACTACAGTCATCCTGTTTCAGAATATCCTTGATTTTTCTGAAAAGAAGAAATCTGTCTACTGTTTTTTACCGGCACCAGATTGCATACAGCTCTGAGACTGCCTACTCTTGTTCTATGGCTTAACTTGATATCTGATCTCAGTTTCTGTGATTCGCTCAACAGATCAGTTAAAACTAAAGCTCTAGACCAGCATTTTTCAAGCCTGGGAACATTAAGATGTGTGGAAGCCTACTCTCCAGGCAGCCAGCAATTCTGAGAGTCCAAATCCACGCCTCTTCAAGTTGTCATGGTTGAGAAACACTGATCCTGATCAAGGAAGCATGTAACCACCGAGCAAGCACAAAACATCATTAATTGGCTTAGGCATCTCAGTGAAATGAAGAGTAATAGTAATAGTAGTAAAGTTGGAAGGGACCTTGGAGGTCATCTAGTCCAACCCCCTGCTCGGGCAGGAAACCCTACACCATTTCGGACAAATGGCTGTCCAGTCTCTTCTTAAAAACTTCCAGTGTTGGAGCATTTACTGCTTCTGGAGGCAAGCTGTCGATTAAATGGATCCCTTTACCATATACAGAAGGAACGGCCAGCTGACCAAGTGCTTTCTGATGTTCTCCCCTGTCATGACTTCATGATTGTTTGGTCCAAAGGTGATTAGCAGGTAGGTCCCAACAATGGCTAAGGAACAGCCTACAAAGGACAAAACATAGCGCCCTTGGGCAGGATGAAGACAAGAAAAACTGTGTTAGTGCATCAGTTTGCAGGTCTACAGCAGCTCTGAGTTATACACATGCATAGTTACAAAAATGAGATGGCTGCCCTTTTAAATGGCTTGGAATACATGCTGGGAATAATTGAGACTTGCACTGCCAGTAGAGTTTATCCTGAAGAATAAAAGCACTTAGAAACGACAGGCATAGGACGGGTAAAGATCTTAAAATTAATGCAATGTAAGAAGAAGTACAGATAGCCCTCGACTTATGACCACAGTTTAGCCTAGCATTCCCATTGCTAAGCTAACACAGTTGTTAAGTGAATTTTGCCCCATTTAATGCCCTTTCTCACCACAGCCGTTAAGTGACTCACTGCAGTTGTCAAGTTACGGTAGTCACACGGTTGTTAGATGCATCTGGGTTCCTCACTGACTTTGCGTATCAGAAGGTCGCAAAAGGTGATCACACAGGGCAATGCAACTGTCGTATGTACACGCCAGTTGCCAAGCATCTGAATTCTGATCATGTGACCACGGGGAGGCTACAACGATCGTTAACTGTGAAAAACTTTTTTCAGTGTTGCTTTAACTTCAAACAATCGCTAAATGAAGGGTTGTAACTCGAGGGCAACCTGTGCTGTAATTAAAAGGATTAGCAAAAAAAAAAAAAAAAAAAGGAAAACTGGGATCTGGGTGTAAATTAACAGGGACAGTCCTGTCCCCCTTTTCTTTTGGACTTCCAAGATGAGAAACCCACTAAACCCTGCCCCCCCCCCAAACCCACCTTTCTGAAATAATAAAAAAATTGCCAGCTACCTAGAAACCGGTCCTAACTAATTAGCAAGTGCAAAAGAAGCAAAAAATAATAATAATAAATTGCAATTTTAGCAGAGAGTGGCAGAAAACCAATTCTTGTTGATTTGTACAATCCATGCAAGGGATGGAAGGTAAAGGGAAGCAAAGGTAAAAGAAACGTGCTGAAGACAGGTAGTTCTGAAAAATGCACCCAGCCACTTACTCAAGAAGTCTTTAGGTTTCCATTTTTCCCTGATGAATATGACTCCGATGATTGCACTTGCTGCATGAGAAAAGAGCAAGCAATGAGTTTTGCCAAATGCTAGAGACAGCCGGTCTGATTAGTTCAAGCTGGGGTTAGGTGTGTATTTTCACTTGTGGAAATGTTTGGTTGAGTATTAGGGATTTTTTTTCCCCTCTCATATATATATATATTTTTAACAAATCAGCATATCTCAAGAACATCTGGCCTACATATCAAAGCTTCCCGGATTTGGGAGGATGCAGGAATGTGACTCTTGCTAGCATCTTGAAGATTTGCTACGAGCACCGCCGCCTGACCTTGTTTACATAGAAGGCAATTTTATTTGGATTGCGGTTTTTGAGATATTTCTGATACTAGATTTTATCATTGGGCATAAAAATCATACAGCATCCTGGGAGAAGTCTATAGGCGCAAGTCTTACCTGCACGCAGCAGGAATGACCTTGAGAAACAGGAGGGAGAATCATAACTAATACAACAATGGTCTGATAAAAGAAACCTAAGTCCCAGCCAGAACTGTAACCTTAGTAAACATTTCTGACAAGACTCTCCCTGCTTCTCCTGAAGATAAAAGGAAGGAAGGGAAAGGCACATCCAGACTTCCAAGGTTCTTGTCACTATAACCTTGTACTACTACTACTACTACTACTACTACTACTACTACTACTACTACTACTACTACACTATGTTGGAAGGGATCTTGGAGGTCATCTAGTCCAACCCCCTGCTCAGGCAGGAAACCCTATACCATTTCAGACAAATGGCTGTCCAGTTTCTTCTTAAAAATTTCCAGTGTTGGAGCATTCACCACTTCTGGAGGAAGGTTGTTCCACTGGTTAATTGTTCTAACTGTCAGGAAGTTTCTCCTTAGTTCTAGGTTGCTTCTCTCCTTGATTAGTTTCCACCCGTTGCTTCTTGTCCTGCCTTCAGGTGCTTTGGAGAATAGCTTGACTCCCTCTTCTTTGTGGCAGCCCCTGAGATATTGGAACACTGCTATCATGTCCTCCCTCGTCCTTCTCTTCGTTAAACTAGACATACCCAATTCCAGCAACCGTTCCTCATATGTTTTAGCCTCCAGTCCCCTAATCATCTTTGTTGCTCTTCTCTGTACTCTTTCTAGAGTCTCAACATCTTTTTTACATCTTGGTGACCAAAACTGGATGCAGTATTCCAAGTGTGGCCTTACCAAGGCATTGAAGAGTGGTATTAATACTTCATGTGATCTTGATTCTATCCCTCTGTTAATGCAGCCTAGCACTATGTTGGCCTCTTTGGCAGCTGCAGCACACGGCTGGCTCATTTGCTTGTAATTAAAGCTGGCTGTTCTTGTACGGCTTCTGCTCTCCCTCAAATTACGTTTGAACTGGTTCAATTGAGTTTTTTTAGTGGTTTCATTTTAGTTGCTCATTTGTAACTAACAGGCAGTCCATGTCTTACTACAGTTCATTTGGTGATCATTCAAAGTTACAATGGCAACCCCCACAAAAAAGAAATTTATGACCATTTTTCACACCGATGACGGTTGCAGCATCCCCACGGTCATGCAATCAAAATTCGGACGCTTGGCAACTGACTCATATTTATGACGGTCGCAGAGTCTGCGACCTTCTGACAAGCAAAGTTAACGGGGACGCCAGATTCACTTAACAGCCATGTTACTAACGTAACTGCTGCAGTGATTCACTTAACAATTGTGGCAAAATTCACTTAACAACAAAAATTGGAGCTCAGTTGTGGTCGTAAGTCGAGGACTGCCTGCATTTATTATTATTTTTAACTGTGAGCCACCTAGACTCACAAATGCTAGACGGGGGGATGGGGGAAGGCTATATAAATTGAATGAATGAATGAATAAGCAAATAAAATGAGTAAGAGTCTTATTCATGGTTTCCTAGTCTGTGTTGAGGGACTTACCGATGACAGAGACGGCCCCCAGAGGCACTATCAGGGAGAGGGGGGCAAAAGCGTAGGCGGAGAAGACCCCCAATTCTCCCAGGCAGAGAAGGAACAAACCACACCACCACGTCTTGGTCCTAAAGTAAGTCTTAGACTCTTTGCAACTCACCAACCGGATATGACTGTATTTCTAGAGGAAGAGAAAGGACAGTGAGAAGACTTATTTGGGTTTCTACTGCTCTGGAATCCTGTTTCTCTTTCTCTCAGCTCACCTGGAGGTTGAGAGCAATGCTGATCATCAGGTGCCCAAAAATAGCCAGCAAGGCACCGATCAGGTTTTCCTGCAAAGAAAGGAAAAAGCACAGCTATTAAACTTGCAGCTTCTGAGAATGCAAGACAGACATATGCTACAGCTAGTCCTTGACAATCACCTAAATAGGAGCTAGCCATGTGTGCTGCAGCTGCCAAAAAGGCCAACACAGTGCTAGGCTGCATTAACAGGGAGAGAATCAAGATCACGTGAAGTGTTAATACCACTTTACAAGGCCTTGGTAAGGCCACACTTGGAATACTGCATCCAGTTTTGGTCACCACGATGTAAAAAAGATGTTGAGACTCTAGAAAGAGTACAGAGAAGAGAAGAGCAACCAAGATGATTAGGGGACTGGAGGCTAAAACATATAAGGAACGGTTGCTAGAATTGGGTATGTCTAGTTTAACAAAGAGAAGGACGAGGGGGGACATGATAGCAGTATTCCAATATCTCAGGGGCTGCCATAAAGAAGAGGGAATTAAGCTATTTTCCAAAGCACCTGAAGGCAGGACAAGAAGCAACGGGTGGAAACTAATCAAGGAGAGAAGCAACCTAGAACTAAGGAGAAACTTCCTGACAGTGAGAACAATTAATCAGTGGAACAACCTGCCTCCAGAAGTGGTAAATGCTCCAACCCTGGAAGTTTTTAAGAAGAGACTGGACAGCCATTTGTCCGAAATGGTGTAGGGTTTCCTGCCCGAGCAGGGGGTTGGACTAGATGACCTCCAAGGTCCCTTCCAACTTTATATTATTATTATTATTATTATTATTATTATTATTATTATTATTATTATTATTATTATGGATCATCGCACAGTCAGCCAGATGTTCAGACTGGATTTGGCATTTTGTCTACCTATCGAGTCCTTACCCAGGACCTGGGATAGGCAGATGTGGATGTTTGATGGTATTACAGATATTATTATTATTATTAAATTACCATTCATTTAGCAACGGAACCCAACATTATAACGGCACCTAGAGAAGTGACTTATCACCAGTCCTCACACTTATTATGATATTCAGATAAAAATCCTGCAAGGAGCATGTTTTTGTCCAGGCAAATATAAATGCCATGCCAGTTTTCCCCAAACTGAGGTTCTCAAAAGATACGTTGAACGGGCCTGAACCGAACTCATCCCCACATTCAACCCTACGATGGTCACTGTCTAAGAGGAATCCGGTCCATTGCATTTCCAAACTCATTGGTGCAAGAATTCTAAGGCCAAAAACGCCCCTGTACAGGTAGCCCTTGACTTACAACCATTCAATTCGTGACCATTCAAAGTGACGTCACTTAAAGAAGTGACTTATGACTGGTCTTCGCATTTATGACGCAGTATCCCCAGTGTCACAGGATCAAAATTTGGGTGCTTGTATTTAGGACAGTTGTAGCATCCTTGGATCGCCAGTTGCAACTTTCCCAGCTGGCTTCCAAAAAGCAAAGTCAATGGGGGGGAAGCCGGACTTACTTAATGACCCTGGGATTCACTTAACAACTGTAGTGATTCTCTTAACACCTTGGGCAAAAACGGTCATAAAATTGGGGCGTGGCTCACTTGCTTTCTGACCTTCCCCAAAGTTTCGGGAGATTATTTGGCAATATTATAATATTATCAGAAGGGCAGGTCATCCTCATTAGGTAGACCAGACCAAAAAATCAATTCCACAGGAAGACCAGAACTATATTTTATTGAGATTGAGTATAAACAGTGGTGGTGAACCTATGGCACGCGTGCTAGAGGCGGCACTCAAAGGCCTCTCTGTGGGCATGCGTGCCGTCGCCCCAGCCCTGCCTCCCCCTGTGCCCCCCTCCTCACCAGCAACCCCCCGGAGAGTCGCCCCCGGGCACGGCCTGCGCAAAGCTGCGCAGCCAAGGACATGGCAGCTGGGCATCAGGCACAAGACTGCGCCCCCACGCCGTCGTGCGCAGATGATGCTGTGGGGTGTGGGTGGAGGGCGTGGCCATGGCGCTGCTGGGCTGCCTGAGCGATCTGCTGAGGCAGGCCGTGGAGGTGGTGGGTGGCCCTGCGGGCGGGCGGGCTGGTTTTTGGGCACTCGGTCTCTAAAACTGTGGTTCTCAACCTTTTTAATGCCGCAACCCCCCCAACCGGTCGTAAGTCGAGGACTACTCAACCGGTCGTAAGTCATGGACTACTCAACTGGTGCAGCACCGTTTGCAGACTGGGACTTTTGGCGGGCTCAGCAGGGCAGAGACAGCCTGGACAATTCCTATTGGCTTTTGAAAGCCAATAGAATTAGACTCTATTCAAGAGAGTCTATTCTATTGGCTTTCAAAAGCCAATAGAATAAAAGGGAGTAGCACAGCTAAGGAAAAGGGGGAAAAAATGGCGGACTGCGTTGTTTGGCGACCCCCGTGAAATGGTCATTCGACCCCAAATGGGGTCCTGACCCACAGGTTGAGAACCACTGCTCTAAAAGGTTCGCCATCACTGGACTATAATAACCGAATCTATCTGAACTGCGCCCCCCCCTTCTTATACTCCAGTGATTCAGGGAGGTGACAGCCTGAGCCGCTTCTGAATACAAATAGTTAAGTGCTACCCAAGTTTACGACCTCTTCTGACATGGTTATTAAAAAGAATCAAGGTGCTTGTTAAGTGAGACACGACAGGATCTCCATCTTCAGCCTGGCGCCTTGCTGGCATCATGCCATCAAGGGGGAAGGGAGGGTGAAGGCATTAGGGGCCAGCCACACCTGTGTATCTAATGGTGGGAAATGGGGAGGAGGAGCTGATATGTGAAGACAACCAGAGCTATTTGTATCGGTTACGCCTCCGGGCATCTTCAAGGCCGCTTGCCCTGGGTGTGAAATTGCAGCAGCCTAAACAACCCAAGGAGTTTCCCACAACATTGTGGCGAAATGTTTTATAGATGGCATCTGGATCCTAAAAAGTTGTCTTGTATGTATCCTAATTTACAGCCCAAATGTTGGAGATGTGGTAATTTGGATGCCACTTATTTTCATATATGGTGGACTTGTAGAAATATAAAAGCCTTTTGGATTAAGATCTGGTGGAACATTCAACAGATTTTTAAGAGAAAGATAAAGTTTACCCCACAATTATTTTTATTGGGTGTTGTTACAGATTGTGATGCTAAAGAAACTAATTTGATGTTGAACTTGATAACAGTTGCAAGGTAATTAGTACGGCAATATTGGAAGAAGGATCGCTTGCCTACTATAGAAGAATGGACAAAGTGTCAAATTTAGCAGAAATGGCTAAGATTTCTGTTTATCTGAAGGATCATTCACAAGAAAGATATATTTCAGTCTGGAGAAGATAGATAAATTATATTCAGAATAAATATGGGACTAAAAAGTTTCATTTAGCCTATGAGTGAATTTTAGAGTATTATGACATTATTATTATTTTTAGTATTAGCATTGTTTAACTATTTGGGGACTGTATTGCTTAATAATTAGGATATTAATTTGTTTATGTTCTCATTATTATTATGTTCATTTTTGATTTGTTTATATTTATGTTAAAGGGGAGTTAAAGTGCATTATGGACTTGGTTATTTATATAGTTGGTTATGTTATTTAGTTTATAATTATTATATTTGTAACCCTGTATTCAGCTCTGGGAAGTGGGGGAGGGAGAGGGGCTTTTTTTGGGTGGGTTGATATTGTAATTTTTATAAAACTTTTTAATTAAAAAAAACCATTGTGGCGATCCCAGATTGGGTGGCAGTGGACTGGACATTGTAGGGAGGGATGGGGAATGATGGGTTTGGCTCTTTGTATTGGTGAGTGGGAGCCTTCCTGCAACCCACATCTTTAGTAAAAGTCCCTTTCACTTCAATCAATAGGAGTTGAGTCTGCTTTCCTAAATGATTGTTCTGGGACAGGTCTGACACTTACGTATTTATATGGTCGCCCATCTCGTGCCTCTTTCTCCAGCCACTGCTGCCCAGGTTCACGTTACTGAGCTACCCTCTTCTCATGCTGGTGAATCAGGTCCTTTTGGAAACGAAAACTTTAGGATAAAAGGAATTACCTTGTAAGAGAAGGCATCCTCGTGGACCGCCAGAGGGCCTGGCTGGGTCACCAGCTGTTCCAGTTGCAAGCTGGGGTTGTTTGCTTTCTCCATTTTGGGTTATCTGTGCATTTCCGGTGTTCCCTTCAGCACCACTTTAAATCCAGCGCAGGGCCAGTCAGTCTCCCTACTTCCTTCCCCATCTGCCTCCTCTAAAGAGGAACCGTAATCTGATTGAGCAGAGAAAACAGATTCATTGATAACTGTTCTCCTAAGTAAAGAGAAGAAGAGAAACTAAAGGACATATGGGGGAGGGAGGCAGGGAGGGACGCTGAAACAATTGTATGAAAATTAGCCATGAGTTACTTTTTTCAGTGCCATTATAACTTCAAATGGTCACTAAATGAACTGCTGTAAGTCATGGATTACCTGTGTCTTGCTGTTGCCTTTACAGCAGGACTTTTCAATCTTTTCACCCATTGTGCCACTTTTAGGATATGGCAACATCCGAGTACCACCAGTCGCCTAGCAAGGTGTCAAAAACCTGATGACCCGCCCCTCCCAAAAGGAAAAAAGTGATAAAGTACAGGTAGTCCTCGCTTAGTGACTGTTCGAATTTACAATGGCACTGAAAAAAGTGCCCCCCAAGCCACAGCCGAGCAAGACACCTGCCTGCCCACCCGGCGGCGCTCTTCCTCCTGTCTGAGGTTTTCATTGTTGTGAGCATTTCTGTTGAGGATTGGCAGCGGGGGTGGGGTGGGGGGTGTTTGATTTTTATTCCCCCCCCATCTGTTGGGTGGTTGCAGCAGGTTTTGGTCACTTCACATGACCCTGGGACACTGTGACCGCCATAAATATGAATCAGTTGCCAAGCATCTGAATGTAAATCACAAGACCCTGGAGATGCTGCAACATTCCAGCGCGTCAGTGCTTCTTCTGGGCTCAGCAGAAGTACCGGGATCAGCACTGAGCTCCAGCTGGAGCCTGGCACTGATCCTGGCGCTTCCGCTGAGCCCTGACAGCCCTGCAGCTCCAGCCATCTCTCGCTCAGGCTTGTGCAGTGCTGCCACTGGTTCTGCTCATTCCCCTCCCCCGCTACCACTTTTCTAGGATGGTCGCGTACCACCTGCCAGGTGCCAATGTACCACAGGTGGTACCCGTACCACTGGTTGAAAAGCCCTGCTTTACAGCATGAGAAACAACCCACTTCTGACTCACTTACTCTGCTCACTAGGTAGCCTCGTATGTGACCCTTCCCTGGGCACCACCTCTTCGCTGGTCCCCTAAGGTCATTTGCACGCATCATGAAATGAAAATATGCTTGTAGGTCTACATTGAGCAGGTGTTTTGTCCTTCCCTGGAGCTTCAGTTGCTGCCTTCTAATCCCACAGGATGCAAAGCAGTGCTGTGCACACTCCTATTAAACATCCTGTATCAAAGGGCAGCCTTGTCTGCAATTGTTTTTGTAAGGCTGCCCAGAATTGTCCTGTGTTAAGATGGGTGGCCAGTAAGTAGAACTGAGTAGAGTAGAAACAAGAGAAAAGAATAGCAATAGCACTTAGCATTTAGACCAGCGGTTCTCAACCTGTGGGTCGGGACTCCATTTGGGGTCGAATGACCATTTCACGGGGGTCACCAAACAACGCAGTCCGCCATTTTTTCCCCTCTTTTCCTTAGCTGTGCTATTCCCTTTTATTCTATTGGCTTTTGAAAGCCAATAGAATAGACTCTCTTGAATAGAGTCTAATTCTATTGGCTTTCAAAAGCCAATAGGAACTGTCCAAGCTGTCTCTGCCCTGCTGAGCCCGCCAAAAGTCCCATTCTGCAAATGGTGCTGCACCAGTTGAGTAGTCCTCAACTTACGACTGGTTGAGTAGTCCTTGGGGGTCGCAGCATTAAAAAGGTTGAGAACCACTGATTTAGACATATATACCGCTTCACAGTGCTTCACAGCCCTCTCTAAGCAGTTTACAGTCAGCGTATTGACCCCGACAATCTGGCTCCTCGTTTTACTGACCCCGGAAGGCTAAGTCAACCTTGAGCCGGTCAGGACCGAACTTGGCAATCAGCAGAATTAGCAGAAAAATAATAAAACAAAGTAAAATAAAAAATAAAATAAAAATAAAACAATAACATAATAATAAAATAAAACAAAATTTGGCATTCAGCAGAATTAGTAGAATAAAAATAAAATAAAATAATAATCAAGTAAAATAAAATTACATTAAAATAATAAAAAATAAATCAAATAAATTAAATCAAGTATAAATAAATAAAGGCAGGCAGGTGACTACCAGTATCCTCCTGATAATCCTGTAATCCAATTATCATTACAGGTAATCCTCAATTTATGATTCGGACCAGAAAATTCATTTTTAAGTGGCATGGTCATTAAATGAGGCATCATCCAATTGCACCGGTTACTGAAACTTTTTTTTGCCTTGGTCATTAAGCAAACACATGTCGTTAAGCGAGTCCTCACATGATCGCCGTTGCGGCCTTCCCTTCCCCACTGACTGACTTTGTCTGAAGCTGGCTTGGAAAGTCACAAATGACCACCAGATGACTGCAGGACAACGCAACTCTCATAAATGTGAGCCAGTTGTCAAGTGCCTAGATCACAATCACATGACTGTGGGGATGGTCTAACGCAGGGGTCTTAGACTTGGCCCTTTTATGATTTGTGGACTTCCAACTCCCAGAATTCCTCTGCCAGCATGCCTGGCTTAGGAATTCTGGGAGTTGAAGTCCACAAGTCCTAAAAGAGCCAAGTTTGAAGACCCAGGGTCTAATGGTTGTAACTTTGAGGACTGGTCATAAATCACACTTTCTAGCACTGTTGTAACTTTGAATCATCGTTTAACCAATGGTCAAGTCAAGGACTAGCTGTACTTCTCACCAGTAGCCATGCATAGAGAGCAGAAGGCTTTTAAAAAAACAACAGAAAAACTAAGGAAAAAAAGAGAAATCTTCTTACAAAGAAACAGGGGAGAGAAATGTGGAAAACATGTTATTTACTTTATTCTGCTTTGAAGCCACCCAATTCAGTTTTCTCCTCAATTTCCTTTTGTATCAGTAAGAATTTAAGCTAGCAAACTAACCCAGGATCATAAAAGTAGCATCAGGATTTCATTACAACCACCACAGATCAAATCCTAAGGCTTTGCCTTTGGGCAAACCAGGGTCTCTTCTAGAGAGTGGCTGAACCTTATCCATCTGAGCATGATTAGAGTGCAGAAACTTCCAGCTTCTGTTCTTGGCACCTGCCGTTGTCCAGAACACACTGGGCTAAACTGGAAAAGGAGATGGCTGAGAAGACTTGATTGCTATCTTGAAACTTCCACGGAGTGGTCATGCTAAAAATAGAGATTTATTTGTTTTGCTCCAGAGGACAGCACCAGGATCATGGGACAAAAACATCAGGGAAACAGGTTTTGGAGAGAAATGTTCTAAGGATAAACACAGCTTGATAAGAGCAGTTTTTTCTTTCTCTGGAGGTGCTCAGGTGACCGACTACAGATAGTCTTCAACTTACTATTACAACTGAGGCCCAATTTTTTGTTGCTAAGTATGTAATTTGTAAACTGAATTTTGCCCCATTTTACGAACTCTCTTGCCACACTTCTAAACGAAGTACTGTTCTTACGTTAGTAACACAGTTCTTAAGTGAATCCTGCTTCCCCCATTGACTTTGCTTGTCAGAAGGTCGCAAAAGGGAATCAAATGACCCCAGACACTGTAGCCGTCATAAATATGAGTCAGTCAGTTGCTAAGTGTCTGAATTTTGATCACATGACCGTGAAGATGTTGCAATGGCCGTAAGTGTGAAAAATGGTCATAAGTCACTTTTTTCAGTGCTGTTGTAACTTCGAACAGTTGCTAAATGAACTGTTGTAATTTTCTGGCCTTTTTGCCTGATTTCCAGCAAAAAATAACCACAGGAATTCGTTGATTTGTTTAACATCAGAGTTAGGTTAAGCCAGAGGCAGTGGTGCGATTCAGCCGGTTTGCACCACTTCGGCAGAACCGGTAGCTAATTTGTTGTTGCCCAGGCCCAGAATGGACTTCCGGAAGCAGCATCCACACAGAAAACCGGTTGCTCACCTATTTGAATCCCACCCCTCCTTCCTTCCTTCCTTCCTTCCTTCCTTCCTTCCTTCCTTCCTTCCTTCCTGTGGTGGGATTCAGCTGGTTCACACCACTTCAGCAGAACCGGTAGCTAATTTTTTGTTGCCCTGACCCAGAATGGACTTCCAGAAGCAGCATCCACACAGAGAAACAGTTGCTCACATAGTTGAATCCCACCACTGGCCCAGAAGTTATTGTTATTGTTCACTTAATGACCTCCACACCCACTTAACTGCAGTAAAAAAAAAAGTCATAAAATTATGTTCATTATGACTTATGGTGGAAATTCCAGGCTCCATTACAATCATAAACTGAGGACTACCTGTATATATTTATTTGCAAAATTTATTAGCCACCCATCTTACTGCACTGTAAGTCTGAGTGGCTTACAACATTAAGAGATAGAACTATAAAAAGCCTAATAATATAAATACTATACTATAAAAAAAATATCATTGATTCCTGCTCATCCCTAATTCTAAACATTTAGTTGAGTCTCCAATCAGGCAAATAGCCTTCTCATTGGTCCAAATCCATACCACAGATTCTGCAACTGGCATTTCTCACTAAGCTCCTAATTGTTGTTGTTACAGGGGATCTTTATCTATTTCTGGATCTTGTGACCCCAAACACATCTGGAGGTCACCAGATAGGAGAAGAAACCTTTACAAAATTCTGGATCGTACCACAATAAGTCAAAAGGGATAAGTACCTAATTCTCTCTCTCTCTCTCTCTCTCTCTCTCTCTCTCCCCTGCCCCCTCCCCTCCTCTTCTCCCCCCAAGATTTAACAAATAAAAGACCAAGAAAATAAAAATCAAGGAAAAAAAAAGATAGAGTTGCAAAAAGAAAAAAAAATGATTTCTGACTTTCTTTGATATATAAATAATACCTCAAATTCTTAACTCTAAAGTTAACATTTGTATACATTATTTCTATAAGCCCATATAGTTAACACAATAACAGAATAACAGAGTTGGAAGGGACCTTGGAGGTAATCTAGTCCAACCCCCTGCTCAAGCAGGAGACCCTACAGGGTAGGCAACCTAGGTGCTTTGGTAGCGCAGCAGTTAGAGTGCAGTACTGCAGGCCACTTTAGCTGACTGTGTTCAGCAGGTCAGCGGTTCAAATCTCACCGGCTCAAGGTTGACTCACCCTTCCATCCTTCCGGGGTAGGTAAAATGAGGACCCAGATTGTTGGGGGCAATGTAAATATATATATACATTGCTTACTGGTGCACACCGCTTAGAGAGTGCTTGCACTTAAAGCGGTATATAAGTCTCATAAATAAATAAATAAACCTTGGCTCTTTTGACTTGTGGACTTCAATACCCAGAATTCCTGAGTCAGCATGGCTGGTTCAGGAATTCTGGGAGTTGAAGTCCACAAGTCATAAAAGAGCCAAGGTTGCCTACCCCTGCCACACCATTTTAGACAAATGGCAGTAATTCTAACCATCAAATCCCAAAATAACATTTCATTATTTTTCGTTTCTCACAAAAGCCACGTAAGTGACTTCCAAGTAAAAAATAAAACCAGTTAAAAGTCTTTCCTTTAATCAAAGTGGTCAATTCTGCCCTCTCTGTCAATTCCATGTAAGTATTGTACCTAACTTTCAACCTTACAGTTCTCATTTCTGGGAGGGCCAGTAAAATATAAAAGCGTCTTAACATTTCTCAGTTTCAAATTCTAACACATCACATATGGACAGATATAACCCACATAAGCTCTTTGGGGTCCTCAATCATTTTTAGACTGTAAAGAGGTGCCAAGACCAAAACATTTGAGAACTGTAATTTTAGAATACTTCTTTGTTGTTGTTGTTAGTTGCGAAGTCGTGTCTGACCCATTGTGACCCCATGGACAACGTTCCTCCAGGCCTTCCTGTCCTCTACCATCTTCTGGAGTCCATTTAAGCTCACGCCTCCTGCTTCAGTGACTCCATCCAGCCACCTCATTCTCTGTCGTCCCCTTCTTCTCTTGCCCTCCATCTTTCCCAGCATTAGGCTCTTCTCCAGTGAGACCTTCCTTCTCATTAGTTGGCCAAAGTACTTGAGTTTCAACTTCAGGATCTGGCCTTCTAAAGAGCAGTCGGGGTTGATCTCCTCTAGGACTGATCGGTTTGATCGCCTTGCAGTCCAGGGGACTCGCAGGGGTCTTCTCCAGCACCAGAGTTCAAAGGCCTCCATTCTTTGGCGCTCGGCCTTTCTTACGGTCCAACTTTCACAGTCATACATTGCAACTGGGAAAACCTCTTTACAAAACTTCTTTACAAAAACCCAATGCATCAGACTTAAGAATCCTCCATCCAAGCTCCCATCACCCTTCTTATTTGCACTCAGTTTCGCTTTTTCCTCTGCTAACCCCTCTTTTCTCTTTCCAACTTTTTTTTTTGTCCTTTTGTATTTTCTTTAAATAATAAAAAAAACCCTCCATTGTTTACGTCCCCGCAATCCTTTAATTGGAGGTTCTTTTGCAATTCACGTGCCCGTAGACACCCCTCTGCGTTTACAAACACGCTTGCATCACCCCAATCCCTCCTTCGTTGCCCTTTCGGAACCAACCTGCACGCGAATGCTGGCGTCCTTTAGGAAAACTTCGCCGAAGCCAGGATCGGCGACCGGTCGGTCAAGTGTCCAACGATGATTTCCCTACGCGTTGCCCCGCGGACTTTTCCACGGCCGAGGGGGAAAAAAAATCGCTTTTTACAGCGAGGCGACCGATAGCGCAGGTGGCCGCTGCAGATCGTGGCTCAACGGCTCAGTCGGTCCTAAATAATAAAGGCAACCTAAATAAATGCCACTCCTGGCTCAGCAGAACCCTAATCCCCCCCCACCCCCCCTCTCTCTCGGACACAAAGTCTTCACTCCGGTCGTCTGAGAACCTGCAGCGCTCACCTGCTTCCGCTTTCCAGCTGCTGCCTTTGCAGCCCAGCGGAGAAACGCAGCGCCGGTGTCTGGCAAAACAGGCGTCCGATTGGATCCGGAAGCCGCCACTCCCCGCTCCGGATATCTCGCCTCTGCAAGGGCCGGAGGGCCTGGACAAGCAGGAGGGAAAGAAAGCGGGCGGAAGCCGGCGCGGCTCCTCTTTCTTCGCTGCAGCCGGTGCAGCCGGCTCGGAGCTTGCCAGGTGCGCCGGGGCTGGACGCCGGTCGCGCCTTCCTGTGGGTTGGGCGGCCTCTAGTGGCCGCGAGGGGAAATGTCCGGCGGCAGGTGGCCAAACTTGGCTGTTTGTTTTAGCAGACTTCTGTAACAGAATACAGAGGTGGAAGGGACGCTGGAGGTCTTCTAGTCCAGGGCTTTTCAACCTTTTCACCCATTGTGCCACTTTTAGGATATGGCAACATCCGAGGACCACCAGTCGCCTAGCAAGGGGTCAAAAACTTGATGACCCCCCCCAAAAGGAAAAAAAAGTGATGAAGTACAGGTAATCCTCGTCTTACAACATTTCACTTAGTGACTGTTCAAAGTTACAGTGGCACTGAAAAAAGTGCCCCCCAAGCCACAGCCGAGCAAGACACCTGCCTGCCCACCCGGCGGCGCTCTTCCTCCTGTCCGAGGTTTTCATTGTTGTGAGCATTTCTGTTGAGGATTGGCAGTGGGGGTGGGGTGGGGGGTGTTTGGTTTTTATTCCACCATACCCCCCCCCCCCGTCTGCTGGGTGATTGCAGCAGGTTTTGGTCCCTTCACATGACCCTGGGACACTATGACCATCATAAATATGAATCAGTTGCCAAGCATCTGAATGTAAATCACAAGACCCTGGAGATGCTGCAACATTCCAGCTGATCGGCGCTTCTTCTGGGCTCAGCAGAAGCACCAGGATCAGTGCTGAGCTCCAGCGGGAGCCTGGCGCTGATCCTGGTGCTTCCACTGAGCCCTGATAGTCTTGAAGAAGTGCTGATCAGCTGGAAAGCAGCACTGATCCTGGGGCTTCCACTGAGCCCTGACAGCCTTGCAGCTCTAGCCATCTCTCACTCAGGCTTGTGGGGTGCTGCCACCGGTTCAGCTCATTCTCTTCCCCCAGTACCACTTTTCTAGGATGGTCGTGTACCACCTGCCAGGTGTCAATGTACTACAGATGGTACCTGTACAGGTTGAAAAGCCCTGTTCTAGTCCAACCCACTGCTAAGGAGGAGACCCCATGCCATTTCAGACAAGTGGCTGTCCAGTCTCTTCTTTTTTTTTTTTTTTTAAAAAAAAGATTTTATTCAGTTTTATAGGGTTGGGGATAGAATAAGATCGAGGTAAGGATTAAGGTTGGGATCAGGATTAGGGTTGGGATCAACATTTATGTTATCCCCCAATAACATTTTCAATCTTTAGCAAACAGACTATTGTCCGGGTACATATGTTCAGTTAACAATAGTTGATACAATAAAAAGTAGATGTAATAAGTGTAATAAATGATAATCATAGACAGTATCAATTAGTTAATGCATATCATTCTTCTTACTGATATATATTCAAAATAACATATCACATTCATTTCTCACTAGTTCGTTTTCCTAACCATTGGTAAAAATTATCCCGTATTCTAAAGTAAACTGAATCTTCTTTCTCTTTAATCTCTAAGGTCAATCTATCCATTTCTGCACATTCTAAAATTTTCTTAATTAAAACCTCTTCAGTTGGTAAGTTTTCATTTTTCCAATATTGGGCAAATACTATTCTCGCTGCTGTCAATATATGCAACATTAAATATTCATTCTCCTTCTCATAATTAGGTCCTAATATTCCTAACAAAAACAGTTCTGGTTTAAATTCTATCTTTCTTTTAATCATTTTTTCCAACCATGTATGTATCTTAACCCAAAACCTTTTTGCTTTAGGGCATATCCACCAGATATGATCCTAAGTACCTGGCCTTTGTTTACATTTCCAGCAATTATTCGAAGTATTTTTAAACATTTTTGCTGATCTTACTGGTGTCATATGCCATTTGTAAAACATTTTATGCAGATTTTCTTTATATGAGAGTGCTTTAGTCAAATTGACTAAATTGAGTCCAGTTTCTTTTTAAGAACCTCCCACAGCTTCTGAAGGCAAGCTGTTCCACTGGTTAATTATTCTCGCTCTCAGGAAATTTTTCCTTCGTTCTAGGCTGGATTTCCCTTTGATGAGCGTCCTTCGTTAGTTCTTGTCCTGTCCTCAGGTGCTTTGAAGGATAGGTTGAAGGATAGTCTTCTGTGTGACCACCACTCAAATAGTACGGCGGTTTCAGAGAGCACCAAAGGCCCTGCAATTCAAACCTCAGCTACAAATTACTCTCTTCTCTTGAGGTTGAACAACCTGCTTTGATGGAAAATCACTAGAAAGCACCCTAGTTGTAATTTATGATGTGCCACCAAGTCATTTTTCGACTCCTAGTAACCACTTAGGTAGATTTTCTCTCTTCTTTTTTTACTGAGGTTTATTGTAATATAAAATACAAATAGAAACCAAGATAATTAGGGAATAGGGGAGGAAAAAGAGCAGAGTAAGAGGGAAAGAAAAAAAGCATCACCATCCAACTTTTTCGGTGTAATAAAGTACAAAATACAGTTACATCCTCAACTTTTTACTTTATGTATTTCGTAAATGCTAGCCACTTCTGTAACAACAAACTAACTTAATCACTTAAGCTACGGAAAGAAATATTGCTGGCATTTACTCTTATCTCAGACATGATACATTATTACTCAATGAGGTGTTGGAGGGTTTATAATCATAATGGGACTTTTTTCTATGTTTGGTAGATCTCAGTAAAATCTCAAAATATCAGAAGGAATATTTAACAAAGGGATAACAATAGTAAATAAGGTAAAGGTAAAGGCTTCCCCTGACAGTTATAATAATAATAGTAATAGTAGTAGTAGTAGTAGTAGTAATAATAATAATAATAATAATAATAATAATAATAATAATAATAATAATAGTTGTAAGGGACCTTGGAGGTCATCGAGTCCAACCCCCTGCTCAGGCAAGAAACTCTACACCATTTCGGACAAATGGCTGTCCAGTCTCTTCTTAAAAACTTCCAGTGTTGGAGCATTCATCGCTTCTGGAGGCAGGTTGTTCCACTGGTTAATTGTTCTTACTGTCAAGAAGTTTCTCCTTAGTTCTAGGTTGCTTCTCTCCTTGATGAGTTTCCATTTGTTGCTTCTTGTCCTGCCTTCCAGCGCTCTGGAGAATAGCTTGACTCCCTCTTCTTTGTGGCAGCCCCTGAGATATTGGAACACTGCTATCATGTTCCCCCTCATCCTTCTCTTCGTTAAACTAAACCAGGGGTAGGCAACGTTGGCTCTTTTCTGACTCGTGGACTTCAACTCCCAGAATTCCTGAGCCAGCCATGCTGAGGGAAAAGGGAGAGGTTTCCAAGCTGAGCCATGCTGGCTCAGGAATTCTGGGAGTTGAAGTTCACGAGTCATAAAAGAGCCAAGATTGCCTACCCCTGAACTAGACATACCCATATGTCTGACTCCAGGGGACAGGGCTCTTTTCCACTTCTTTCCCAGGGAGCCAGCGTTGTCCGAAGACATTTCCATGTTTATGTGGCCAGCATGGCTATTTGCCAAAGGTGCATGGAATGCTACTACCTTCCCAACAAAGTGGTACCTATTCATCTACTCGCATTTGCATGCTTTCAGACTGCTAGGCGGGCAGGAGCTCGGGCAAGGGACGGGAGCTCATCCCGTCATGCAGTGTTCGGATCTTGAACCCAGGCTGCCAGCTAACAAGCTCAATAAACAAAAGAGGGCATAATTAAAAAAAAAGTGTGCCCCTAAAGGAGTGAATAAAAGTTATGAAAGAAACTCATGCTCCTCTTGCTTTTAGCAGTAAAGTCCTTACTCACTCACCACAGAAAATATCTGAGTCATCTGGCACTTGAAAACAACAACAACAAACAGTTCCATCAGATTTGAGTCGGTCAGCCAGCTTGAGAAAGCCTAGGTCGATCAAATTCACGTGCTTAAAAAACAAAATAAGAAACCACTGTTTCTTTTTTATTATTATTATTATTTTAGACCAACAAAACAAAACACAACAAACATTACTCACATACACACGTAATATATCCTTTTTTGTTAACAGCAGTTTGTAACGGTACTCTTCCATTCTTTACATTTCCCCCCTCTTTCTTCTTTGAAATATTTGTCCTTATTGCCCCATTGTTTCTTATTTACATTTTCCTTCTTTCATATTCTACTACTTACTAGGAATCCAACATTATTCATTGTAGTAACACTCATATTTTTTATAAGACTCGACCGGAATGCCATCTAAGCATGGTGATCATACAAATATTCTCATATTATTTAGTGCATATACTGAAGAAACCACTGTTTCATTGGGATTGGTAGGATTTTAATCTGTTCTTGCAGAGGCAACATGAATGCCTATTAAGACAAATGGACATTTTAAAGGGCCAGACAGAAGAACATGAAAGCTGCTGTGTGGAATGTGACAAACAAAACAAAAGAAAACAATAAAAAATAATAAAATAAAATAAGAAAGCTGAAAGGTATGGATGCCTTTCAACAACTGCTGCTTTGCTCCCTTCCCAAGAGAGCAAGCATCCCAGCCCCAGCAGCTGAGTCTGGAAGAAAAGATTTCTCCAGAGACCTGCTCTGTGATTGGTCCATTTTGAAGCTAGCGGAAGTAAGAGTGGAACGAATTGGAGGAGCTGCCTTTGTTCTCTGGTTGCCTAGGGCAACAAGTGGTATACATGCTGCAGCGTCTTGCCTAGAGGTAGCCCTGGGAACCAGGTAAGCAATTGGCAGCAAAGAGGGGGGCTTTTCCAGGTAAATCTGTCCTTGCAACCATGATGAGCATATTGTCCTCAGCTACACTCTTAAGACAGGTGTGGGCAAACTACAGCCCCACTACCCCAGGCAGCCCCCAAGGTCCTTTTCTATAGAGCTTGCAAAACCCTTCTGACATAAATGTGGCTCAAATAATTAAACAAACAACTCTGCCCCCCAACCCAATTATAAACCAGACACATTCTCCATCCCAAAACCAGAGAAAAGGTATCATCCCTTCAAGGGAGACCAGGTCAAGAAAGTGGCATGGAAAGGATTAAATCACAATATCTCAGAGAACCTGTTGGATTTTGCCTCTGCCCCCATTGTTGCCTTTAAAACTCAGGGTCCAGGTTTGATGTGGAA